CCGCTGAGCCTAGCACTTGACAGTAGCGAAGACATCTGTCAAATGACCAAATGTCCCTTTTCCTCCTTCCTTGGAGATCCCATTGCCTCACTGGACAGAAGAGGAGACCGAGGGTCCAAGGGGACCACCCCCCTTCTCCAGTGCCCCTGATTGCTGCTCACCTGGCTCAGGGGCCCCATCACGGGGCCTGGCGGGCAGTGGGCGGGGGCCCCGTGGGCGAGGGCCAGGCCGGGCCAGGGCCACGGGCCCCAGGAACTCGACGTAGGTGCCAGGGAAGTCACCTCGCTGCCGTGTGCGCTCGTTGAGGCCGGGCATCCAGCCCACATTCTGTGGGCAGCGCTCGCCACCCTCGGCCACACCCAGTGCCTGCAAGGCCGCCCGGCTCACTACCAGCACATCGCCAGGCAGCAGCTCCAGGTCCTCTGGCCGCTCCCGGCGGAACGGGTACAGAGCGCGGTACTGGAAACCCTCAGGGCCCGCCATGGCCGCGTGGGTGGGGTGGGGTCTGGATGGTTAGGTGGCTGCTTGGAGTCCCACTGGCCCCATTGGCTGGAGCAGGGTTGGGAGGGTCCGCTGGGTTGGCTTGGGGTGCTGGGACCTCTATCTCCAGCAGTCACAGGCGACCACGGGGGCCGCTCATGCCTCGCTTCAAATTATTCCATGACCCTTACAAGGGCCACTCGTCGCTGGGTCCACCATTCGTCAACTGGTGGGAGGGGGTCGGTGGCGTGGTGTCAGGTCACTGGGCCACTGAGTCCTCCATCAGCAGGTGAGGCTGGGGCAGGCCGCTCACGCCCTCACATGGAGGGCCATGGGCGCCCAAGGGTGGCGGCTCTGCTGGCTGCACCAGACGAGGGAGCCAAGGGTGCAGGCTGCCACCATGCTCGGCCCGCCGAGGACGCCGACCTAGGGAGACAGGGATAGGGCAGCGTTAGCCAGGCCAACTCCTCTCACCCCCAACACGGAAATGGGCCCAAATCCTGATTTGGAATTCCCTGAATCACTGAGTGACCCTGAGGTCAGTCCCTCTCAGGGCCTCAGCTTCTCCATGTGTAAAATGGGTCTACTGACAGCCTTCCCTTGGAGCTGCTGGGAGTAGAACTCCCAAGAAACTGCCCCAGGTATACTACATGCTCAGTAAGTCAGTTTTTCTTTTTTTTTTCTTTTTTGAGACAAAGTCTTGCCCTGTCGCCCAGGCTGGAGTGCAGTGGCGTGATCTCAGCTCACTGCAACGTGTCTCCCAGGTTCAAGTGATTCTCTTGCCTCAGCCTCCCAAGTAGCATGCCACCACGCCCAGCTAATTTTTGTATTTTTAGTAGAGATGAGGTTTCACCATGTTGGCCAGGCTGGTCTTGAACTCCTGACCTCAAGTGATCCGCTCGCCTTGGCCTCCCAAAGTGCTGGGATTACAGGCATGAGCCACCTTGCCCAGCCTGTTTTTTTTCAACAGAGGTGGGGTCTTGCTATGTTGCCCAGGTTGGTCCCAAACTCCTGGGCTGAAGTAGTCCTCCCGCCTTTGCCTTCCAAAGTGTTGGGATTGCAGGCGTGAGCCACTGCACCCGGCCAGTAAACAAGCTTTTCATCGCCCCTGTTACAGAAGGGGAAACTGAGGCTCAGAGCAGGGAGGTGTCTAGGGCCGTGCGGTAGGACAGGAGGAAGCCAGGACTTACACCTAGATCTGCCGACTTCAAGGCCCAGTTGGACATGAGGGGGCAGCAGCCAGGTGGCCAGATACCCAGGTGGCCAGATACCCAGGGTAGGGAGGACACAATGGGGCCCACTCCGGTTGCTTTGGGAGCTCCATGGAGGGGTCAGGCCAGCTGAACTAAGAGGTAGGGAAGGAAGTCCAGGAAGAGGCCCCTGCACAAGCAAAGGCCTACAGGTGAGTCCAAGCAAATGGACCTCCAGTCTCTGCAGAGGAGGAGTGAGTGGGCTGGCAGGTAGCTCCAGCCTGGGGCCCAGAGGAGGCGCAAAATGCAGATGGGGAGGTGCTTAGAGGGAACCTTAGCCCCAGGGAGGGACAGGGAGCCAGGAGAAGGTGGGGGTACTGCAGCTGAGGAGGAGGGGAGGCTGCTGGCCGCAGGGCATTGATCATTTCCCCAGGAGCCCCAGTCTGGGGAGGCAGAGATGGGCACAAATTCCCAGCCTAGCCCTGCAGGTTCAGACCTCCTGTGATGGACAGGGCTAGGGTGACGGATGGATGTGCTGTTCTGGAGAATGGATCATCACAGTGGATAGGAAGGTGCGCTAGGCATAGGGAACGGCACATGCAAAGGCTTGGCAGCGGGTAAGCTGCTTGTCAAGGATTCAAGGTGGCTATAAGGATAGGTGCTATCCACTAAGGGGCCCGAGTGTCAGGTGGAAGCTCTGAGCATCCTTCAGTCATGGGGAGCCCCAAGAGGTGTCTGCGCAGGGCGGAGGGGCGCCACATTCTCGGGTGCCCAACTTACCCACTCCCAGGTCTCTGTTACCCTCGTTCTACAGGTGGGGAAACTGAGGCCCCGAGAGGGGATGCCCAGGGAACCGCCTGGATCTGCCTGCCAGCCCGCCCCCACGCCCCGGTGTGCGCGCCCCGGGAGCAGCGCTCCCCGAATCCGGGAGGCGGGAGGGGCGGGGCAGGCAGGGCTGGGGGCTCCGCGGGTGAAGGCAGGGCCTGCGCGCTCACACAGACGCGCACTTGGGTCTGCATGGACCCGACTACCCGGCTAGGGGACCGGAAGTGGGATCGACCTTCCCCCCGGCCCTCCTGCACCCTATCCTGCCCCGCACAATGCCTGGGCGCCCCTCGGTACTATTCGAAGCCCCATTCCAGGCAGGGCCTCCCTTCATTTGGGGCCGCAGCTCCAGTCCGGTATCTTGGACGCGGGGAATACCCCTATTCTGCCCCGACCGTCCCAGGGAGGCTGCACCGCTGCGGAACCGAGCCCGAGGCCCCCCCCTTGCCTGCGGCCCCCCCAGTTCCCGCGGGGCCCGACGCAGCCTGGCGCTTGCGTTCTGGCTTCCACCGGGGCCCCGCACTGTCCCCAGGCGCCCCGCGTTTAAGCACACTCCCAGCCGCCCCCGCCACGAGGGCCAGTCAGGACTCACCTGGTCGCGGCCGCCACCGCCGCCGCAGTCGCCGTCACACCAAACCGAGCCCGCCCCGTGGCTCCACCGCGGCCACCGTCGCCGCAGCCGCGGGATCCCCGCCTCTGCCGCCGCCACGGTTCCGAGCGGCCTGGCCCGCCCCCGGCGGAAATGCCCGAGCGTATTCGGGCCGGGCTGGTGAACGGAGGCCGAGGCGGAGTCTGAGGGGAGGGGGCACCCGAGTGTTTCCGGAAGTAACCGAACGTAATCCCGCGGGACTGGTGGACTAGAGGGAGCCCCGAGTCAGCCGAGCATTTCCGGAGGTAGCCGAGTGCAATCGGGTCGGCGAAGGCTCCGAGGCTAGGCTCGGCTGAGCTCGGCAGGGCTTAGAGACGCCCGAGCACTTCCGGAAATGGCCGAACATTCTCTCCCGCTGGACTGGCACAACGGAGGCCGATCCCCGAGACCGCCGAGCGTTTCTGGAAATAACCGAATGCGCTCAATGCCCAGTGGAGGCCTTGGGAGTTTAGACTCAGAGGGACCGCCAGCTTATAGAAATTGCTGAAGCATAGATGGTTCCGAGGGCAAATGAGGCGTTCTCAAGCTCAGCAAACAGGGGGCACTGGACTGGGGAAAGGGCCTGAGGCAAAAAGCAGAGGTCCGAGACAGCCAGGGTTGAAGGAGTTTCCATGGCAACCCAGAGCGTCCGGAAACAGCCAACGATCTCGACCCCTACGGGCACTAGAACTTAGCGGACTTGAGCCCAGATGCCAGCTGTTTCCGGAAATAGCCGAACGCTCTCGGAGATGGGGGTGTAGCCAAGAAGATTTGCAAACCGGCTGAGCGCCCCGGAAGTAACGGATTGCTCTAGGGCTGGGCTGCGTTCGGCTACAGGAAGTTTTATGGCAGAGCGCAAGCTAAGACCAGGATAGAAAGGACGCGACGATTGCTTATTTTATTATTATTATTTTTTGAGACGGAGTTTCGCTCTCGTTGCACAGGCTGGAGTGTAATGGCGCTTTCTCGGCTCGCCGCAACCTCCACCTCCAGAGTTCTAATGATTCTCCTGCCTCAGCCTCCCTAGTAGCTGGGATTACAGGCATGCGCCACCACGCCCGGCTAATTTTGTATTTTTAGTAGAGACGGGGTTTCTCCATGTTGGTCAGGCTGGTTTGGAACTCCTGACGTCAGGTGATCGGCCCGCCTCGGCCTTCCAAAGTGCTGGGATTACAGGCGTGAGCCACTGCGCACCGCCGCTTATTTATTTTATTAACATAGCTCAGGGCGTCCAGGAGGTCGAGGCTGCAGTGTGCCGTGATGGCGCCACTGTACTCCAACCTGGGTTACAGAGCGAGACCTTGTCTCAAAAACATAAAAATAAAAAACATAGGCCGGGAGTGGTGGCTCACGCCTGTAATCCCAGCACTTTGAGAGGCCGAGGCGGGCAGATCACGAGGTCAGGAGATCGAGACCATCCTGGCTAACACGGTGAAACCCCGTCTCTACCGAAAATATAAAAAATTAGTCGGGCGTGGTGGCGGGCGCCTGTAGTCCCAGCTACTCGGGAGGCTGAGGCAGGAGAATGGCGTGAACCCGGGAGGCGGAGCTTGCAGTGAGCAGAGATCGTGCCACTGCACTCCAGCCTGGGCGGCAGAGCGAGACTATGTCTCAAAAAACAAAACAAAACAAAAAAAACATAGCTCAGGGCCCAGATGTCTGGAGGAAGCTTTTAAGGGCAGAGCTATGATGGAGTACTCATAGGTAGCAGGAGGCCACTACCAGCGATGGCATCAGGAAGAATCTCAACAGCAAACTCCCAGGCAGCCCTCAAAACCCACTTGCAATGACTTTAAGCCATGGGTCTATTTCACTCCCCTCCCCTCCCCACTCTTCCCTTCCTCCTTTCTCAGCCTCACAAATCCAGACGTTGGAGCTCATCTTTGTAAATACGGGCTTTTATTCACTGCCAGCTCCAGGATGGAAGGAGGGGGTGAGTCATGCACAGCCTTGGTCTACCCTCCAACACTAGGCAGTGCTGGGCAGGGGACTCAGAAAGGGACGCAGAGTGGGCTGTTGATGTCTGGAAAGCTCCCTCACCAGAGTGCCCAGTGGGTCACACAGCATCATGGGGGATGAGCTGGGGCTGGAGTCGGCTGTATCTGACACCAGACCCTCCATTCAAGCTCCCTTGATGACAACGCCCACAACAGGGTCTGGCTGATGCTCCATTCTGCCACGACTCCTGCTGGGTGATCATTGGACAGGTTTCCGCCCCTCGCTGGGGTCTCAGCTGCTTTGTCTGTAAAACGGAGGTGATGATGCCACCTCCAGCCTTCTCAAGGCTGGCTGAGGGAGAAGCCACGTAAAAGCGCTTGGCACACAGTAGGTGCTTAATAAACAGTCAATGGGATTAGTCTTGTAAACACAAGGAAACTGAGGCACAGAGTGGGAAAGCCATTTTCCCAGAGCCACACAGTGAAGCTGAAATTCAAACTCGAGCCTCAACTGGGTTTTCTTGCTTGAACTTCATCCCAGAGAGGCTCTGACATATGGAGGGAACCCCTAACAGGTGTTTCAGATACATCACGGCCAAGGGCTCACTCTGCTGGGCCTCAAACACACGGCATCTTGTCCAGGGTAGACTAGACAAAGTGAGGCCGAGGCAGAGCCTGAGGGGAGGGGACACCGACTGTTTCCGGAAGTAGCTGAACATAATCCCGCAGGACTGGCATACTGGAGTGTGCCCCGAGACAGCTGAGCATTTCCGGAGGCTGCCTTGGCAGTGCCAGGTGAGGCCTATGCCTTCCTTTATCAGTGCCCACCTTTGGAGCAGATGACCCCTCTGCCCAGATCCGGTGAACACCTATTCATCCATCAAAGCCCCAGCTCCCACATCCCTTCTCCAGGCTGAAGCCAGGGGGATTGGAGGCAGACTCTATATATATAGAGTAGGCACTGCCTGGGGATGGCAGCTATGACGGTGGGAAGTGGACTTCAGAATCCAGTCCATCGTTGGGATTACATTGTTTTGTGGGTGAGGGGAATCGTTTACGGACACTCCAGGTTGTATCCAAACTGGGCTAGTACAGGTGACTTCAACTCAATCCCCTCAAATGGGTGGGTGTGGGGAAGGGAATGAGACCAGGTAACATAAAACACTTAAAAAGTACAGAAAAACTAGAAAACACACACACAGATGACTTGTCCAAAGTGCTTCCTTCTCAGCCCAGAGGGCAGGGCCTGCAAACAGGGTCCCAGGTGCCTGGGGCAAGACCTGGCGGCCGCCTGCAGGGGGCGGCTCAGTCTGGCTATCGCTTATAAAAAGTAATAAATTAGGCTGGGCCCAGTGGTTCACGCCTGTATCCCAGCACTTTGGGAGGCCGAGGTGGGCAAATCATGAGGTCAGGAGTTCAAGACCAGCCTGACCAACATGGTGAAACCCCCATCTGTACTACAAATACAAAAAATTAGCTGGGCATAGTGGCGGGCGCCTGTAATCCCAGCTATTTGGGAGGCTGAGGCAGGAGAATCGCTTGAACCTGGGAGGCGGAGGTTGCAGTGCGCCGAGATCACGCCACTGCACTCCAGCCCAGGCAACAGAGTGAGACTCCGTCTCAAAAAAAAAAAAAAAAAAAAAACGAAAAAAAAAGTAATAAATTAGTTGCAGGGATTTGCTGCTATTTACAAAGCTACCCTTATCCCCCATTCCTGCCCCATCCAGCCCCCTGATTGACACCAGAACACAAGGGAAGTGATATCTCCACCTCCCAGCAAGGACCAAGATGGCTTCTTGCTTTCTGGGTGTCAGGCTGGTGGCTCGGTCCCCATCCAGGCGTGACTTTACAGAAAAAACATTGCACAAGGAAACGTGTGACTTTGAGGCCAGGGAGAGACCTGGCAGGGGGATCAGTCTCTCCCGGTGGGCCCGAGAGCTACTGGCACAGCTTCCTCGCCCTCCACGGCAATCTGTGGCACTGAGGCGGGCAGCCCAGTGGCCTCCTCCTGCGGCTCATCGAAGCTAACCTCCTGCACGGCCTCCTGCTTCTTGAAGGAGTCTCGGCGCTCGGACAGGTGCAGCCGTCGCATGACCACGAGCTCGGCTTCTGGCCCACGACTGCGCCGCCCTGCCTCCCCATCCAGCCGCTCCCCTGTGCCCAGCTTGTCAGCTGACTGGCCTCGGCGCAGCCGCGGGGATCGGGCAGGTGCGGGGGGGTGCCCGGGCAGGGGTGAGGGCGAGCGGGGTGGGGGTGCAGAGATGGGCGGGCAGGCCAGCGGGGAGGGTGGGATGCTGCTGGTGGACTTGCGACGGCCCGTCTTGGGGCGGGGTGGCCCAAGCTTGGCAGCCAGGCCATGCAGGGAGCTGGGGCGGGTGTGGCCGGCAGCAGCTGGGGAGGCGGGGCTGCTGGAGCTCGGGGATGCGCTGGGTGGGGATGCAGTGGTATCTGTGGGTGATAAGTATAGGTCAGGGCTGCTGGCCTCAATGTCCCCAGTCCGGAAGTGGAGCTGTGGGACTGATGAAAACTGCTAAAGCCCACATCCTTCCATGTGGCCACCCATCACGCCTGGTTGTTTTTGTTTTTGAGACAGGGTCTTGCTCTGTTGCCCCGGCTGTAGTGCACTGGCTCAATCATAGCCTCAGCCTCCTGGGCTGAAGCGATCCTCACAACTCAGCCTCCTGAGTAGCTGGGACAACAGGTGTACACCACCATGGCTGGCTAATTTTTTTTTTTTTTTAATAGAGTCTCGCTCTGTCACCCAGGCTAGCGTGCAGTGGCGTGATCTTGGCTCACTGCAACCTTCACCTCCCAGGTTCAAGTGATTCTCATACCTCTGCCCCCTGAGTAACTGGGACTACAGGCATGTGCCACCATGCCTGGCTAATTTTTGTATTTTTAGTAGAGTTGGGGTTTCTCCATGTTGGCCAGGCTGGTCTCGAACTCCCGACCTCAAGTGATCCGCCTGCTTTGGCTTCCCAAAGTGCTGGGATTACAGGCGTGAGCCATCATGGCTGGTTCATACCAGACTTTTCTGCCTCCTGCTCAGGGTTGTTTCCTTGGCCTAGCCCTGGTGAACTACTTACCCATCAAAGCCCCAGCTCCTACTCCCCCTCCTCCAGAAAGCCTTCTCTGTATCCCTTCTGTTTTTTTTTCCCTTTTGTTTGAGACGGGGTCTCAGTCTATTGCCCAGGCTGGTGCAATCATGGCTCACTGCAGCCTTGACCTCCTGGGCTCAAGTGATCCTCCCATCTGAGCCTCCGGAGTAGCTGGGACCACAGGTGTGCACCACCACACCCACCTATTTTTTTTTTTTTTTTGAGACAGAGTCTCGCTCTGTCGCCCAGGCTGGAGTGCAGTGGCCGGATCTCAGCTCACTGCAAGCTCCGCCTCCTGGGTTTATGCCATTCTCCTGCCTCAGCCTCCTGAGTAGCTGGGACTACAGGCGCCCGCCACCTCGCCCGGCTAGTTTTTTGTATTTTTTTGGTAGAGACAGGGTTTCACCATGTTAGCCAGGATGGTCTCGATCTCCTGACCTCGTGATCTGCCTGTCTCGGCCTCCCAAAGTGCTGGGATTATAGGCTTGAGCCACCGCGCCTGGCCTTTTTTTTTTGAGATGGAGTTTCACTCTTGTTGCCCAGGCTGGAGTGTAATGGCGTGATCTCAGCTTGCTGCAACCTCTGCCTCCCGGGTTTAAGTGATTCTCCTGCCTCAGCCTCCCTAGTCGCTGGGATTACAGGCATGTGCCACCACACCCAGCTAATTTTGTATTTTTAGTAGAGACAGGGTTTCTCCATGTTGGCCAGGCTGGTCTAGAACTCCCGACCTCAGGTGATCCACCTGCCTCAGCCTCCCAAAGTGCTGGGATTACAGGTGTGAGCTACCGCGCCCGGCCTCACACCCACCTAATTTGTTAATGTTTTGTACAGATGGGGTCTCCCTGTGTTGCCCAGGCTGGTCTCAAACTCCTGAGCTCAGTGATCCTCCTGCCTCGGGCTCCCAAAGTGTTGGGATTACAGGCGTGAGCCTCCATGCCCAGCCTCTTCTCAGTTTTCCCACCCTCCTGTCTAGTCCCATTTGTCCATGATGTTTCCTCTGCTGGGCACATCCTTCCCTGGCACCTGCACTCATCTCTGAGTACTTCCAGGTTCCCTGCTAGACACCAGGATTCTGGAAGATGTTCCTTCTGGTCATATCTTTCCCTACATCGCGTCATTCCATCCCCCATTCCATCCTCCAAACCCCTTCCTCCCTCCTGGGGCCCACCAGCCCTTGCCCCCAGGGTAGCCGGGGCGGCAGGGGGCGGGTGGGGGGGTGTACCCACCTGCTGGGACATCAGGGGCTGGGCTTCGGCAGGGAGTGGTGGGGCTGGGGGAGAGGCTGTGGGTGGGCGAGCCAGGGAGGCTCTCGCTGGATGACAGTGAGTGGTGGAGTCCGGAGGAGAAGCTGCGGCTGGTGTGAAGCACGGAGGTCTGCTTGGAGATCTTCTTGAAGAGCGACTTCCGCCTGGGGTAAGAAAATTGGAGGCTTCAGAACCCCTGCTCCTGACCAGGCACGGTGGCTCACACCTGTAAGCTACTTAGGGGACTGAGGCAGGAGAGTCGCTTGAACCCAAGAGGTGGAGGTTGCAGTGAGCCAAGATCATACCACTGTACTCCAGCCTGGGCGACAGAGCAAGACTCCATCTCAAAAAAAAAAAAAAAGAAAAGAAAAAAAGAACCCCTGTCCCCAGGGCGTGCCCCGTGTACCGCTCCCTGGTGGCCACTGCCGCGCACCGGTCCTGGGTCTCCCGCCGACGGCTCCGCTTGCTCCTGCGCGCCATGCGGCCCTTGGCCACATTCTTCCGTGCGGGGCCCACCTTGATGGAGGTGTTCTCCAGGGCCGTGGTCCGCAGGGATATCTTGTTGCCGCTCTGTGGGAGGGATGGTGAGGGGTTGCCTCGGTGCCTCTCCCAGGGCCCAGCACTTGCCAGGCAGCTGCTATGTCCCCTTCACTCTGGGCACCAGCTAGGACCCACCACCCTAACATCCATTCATCTAGCCAGCCAGTGACCTACCCATTATATCTGGTCAAACAATGGCCCAGGGAGCACCACCCCTCCTGCCAAGATCCTTCCCTCTGTAGTCAACGCCCATCAAAGCCTGCCGTCTTCACTCTCCGCCCTCCCGGGGTCTGTCACCCACCTAGCTGGTATCCACCCATTAACCACCCCAACATCTCTCCATCCCCCAATCACTCACCTAAGGGCCCATGAGTTATTAGGCCAAAGACACCTGCCCACTGTCCGTCTATCCAATGAACCACCCATGCAGCTGCCCACATGAGAGCCCTCTTTTTTTTTCAGAACCAGGGTCTCACTGTCTCCCAGACTGGAGTGCAGTGTGGCACGATCACGGCTCACTATGGCCTCGACTTCCTGGGCCCAAGCGATGCTCCCACCTCAGGCTCCCAAGTGCCTGGGACTATAGGCGTGTGCCACCATGCCCAGCTCATTTTATTTTTTAATATTTTGCAGAGATGGGGTCTCGCTCTGTTGCCCAGGCTGGTCTCAAAGTCCTGAGCTCAAGCGATCCTCCCACCTTGGCCTCCCAAAGTGCTGGGATTACAGGCGTGTGCCACCACGCCCGGCCCTTCCTCCTGTCTTGAGCCCATCTCCTACCTCCAGGCTTCAGGCCAGAGGGAGGAACAGATGTAAGGGTACCCAGGGAGAAAGGAGGGCTTCTTGGAGGAGGAGTTCTGAGGGGTGATGTTGGGGGCTGAAGAAGGACACGTGTTCTGGGGAGAAGGAAGTGGGTGTGCCAGGCCTGGAGTTGACATTGAATGTAGGGTTGTGTGTCTGGGTGGGGAGAACCACAGGGAACCAGCAGCTGTGGCCAAGGGGTGCCGGGGAGCCCTGAGGGTGGGCAGTGGGGGCGCCGCACCTTCAGCAGCAGCTCCACGACGTCCATGTGCACCAGCCCCAGCACCGACTCCCCGTTGATGTGGGTGATGAGGTCCCCGGCCCGCAGGCCAGCCTCCTGGGCGGGGCTTCCATCCTCCACACTCTGGGGGCAGACAGGGGAACAGTGGGGTTAATGGCCTGGGCCCCACATCTGGAGACCCCAGCCCAGGCTGGGTCTGCTGTGAGACCCCAGCAAGCTGCTGCCTCTTGTGTTGCCTCCGTTTCCCTGATCCTGGGGAATTCCTACTCACCCATCAAAGCCCCAGCTCCTATGCCCCCTCCTCCAGAAAGCCCTGTCTATTCAGGGAGCAACCAATAAGGAGGGCATGCCCCGACGCCCCTGGGCTGGGGGAGGGAGGATAACACGCCCAGTGCGTCCCCATATGGAGCTGGGAGGTTAATGTCACTTGGGATCTGTGAGCCTCCATCCATCCATCCCTGTCTCTCTCATCCAACCTCCTCCCTACCAACTGACAGGGACCAAGATGAACTTGGTGGCACCAGCTCTGTCTCCCTAATCCTGCCAGGCTCCAAAATGCAGCTCTGAGAAGGGGCGCGACCGGGCACAGTCAGACTAGAACCCGGGTCCCTGCCATTCCCACTCGGCACTCACCCAGACGACGTGGTGCACAGCGTAGACGTCGCTATCACCCATGTAGACGCGGATTGCCCGCAGGCTGAAGCCGTACTTCTTGCCGGAGCTGTGGATGACGATCGGGGGCCGCAGGTTGCCACACACGGGGGACGGGTCTCGGCTCGGCGAGGAGTCACGGGACGACGGGTTCGAGGACAGAGAGCGCGGGGACAGGGGGCTCATGAGGGGGCCGCCGCTGCCATCATCTGCAGGGGGTTAGGGAGGGGGTCACCCATTCCCTCGCAGGTCTCCCCTGGGGCCCCCTCTTTCCCACCCTGGCCGCTTTGCTATTGCTTCAATGTCCCAAGCATGGTCGCCCCAGCAGGCCTTTGCACGTGCAGTGCTCTCTACTGGGAACACCGTCCCCCCAGCTCTCCCTGTGTCCTGTTCCTCCTCCCCTCTCCTGGGGCTCATCCCCAGCCTCCCCTACTCAGGATAGGCTCCCACTCTGTAGGTTAAAATGGGTGCGGACAGACAAAGGTGAGAGCGGGCCTTGGGCATTACCTGCCGTGATGATGAGGGACAGGGCAGAGACAGAGGCCGACTTGGGCACACGGCCCCCACCGCCGCCACCACTGCCACCGCTGGAGGAGGCTCTGGACTTCTCAGGGGCTGGGTCTCTTGGGCCCCCAAGGCGGCGGCCCCGGCCGGCATCGAGAGGCCTCGGTGTGGAGTGTCGGGCGCCGATGCTGTTGCTCCGTAGGCGGGCGTGGCTGAGGGCAGCTGTGTCGGCTAGAGGGTCAGCAGGGTCAGCCGGGAGCCCCTCAAACTCACCACGTGGTCCTAAAGAGACCTTAAGGCCCTTCCTCCCTGGTTGCTATTTACACAGGCCAGACTCCTGGCCTTTGCTCGTGCAGTTCCCTCGTCCCGCACACCATTCCCAAATTATTCTCTATGCAAAAGTCTTCAAGCCCCCTCTTCCAGGAAGCCTTCCTCCACACCCATTTAGACCCTTAGTTCCCCCATCTTGGGAGCTAGGGGTCCCATCCCGACTCTATGAAGCTGGGGGCATTACCCTAGACTGGGGTTCCTTGGAGGCTGGATATCTCTCTGGGACCCTGGCTTCTCCTCTCTTAAAGCCTTTGTTGGCTCTGGAGAACTCCTACTCATCCTTGAAAACCCATCTCAAATAGCCCCTCCTCTGGGAAACTTCCATGACATCATCCCTCTTACTCAGGGTCCCACTTACCGGAAAGGCTCGAGGGCTTGGGCATCACTGGGGTGGCTGCTGGGGGTGGGTCAGGCTCCCCTAGAATGAAGACAGGCCTCTTGGGGCCTGCAGGGGCCGGGCCTGCCGCCTCATCCTCTGATGAGAAGGCAAACTTGGGCATTGTGTCCAGGCTGATGGTATTCAGGAGAGATGGGCTGGGACCTCGCTCGGGCTGGGACGAAGATGACTGACAGGAGGATCCAGAGGATGTCCAGGACCTCAGCCTGCAGGGAGGAAGAGCCTGGGTCACCCCTGCCAGGCACCTGCACCCAGTATACTCAGCCACCTTTCATGGCCACATCTTAATTCTCAGTCTGCAGTCAGGGGCAGTTTGCATAGACAAGCTCCCTCTGTCTGCACTGTCCTCTCTGTCCACCTGGAGACTTCTCAGTCACCTTTTTTTTTAAAGACAGGGTCTTGCTCTGTCACCCAGGCTGAAGTGCAGTGGTGCAATGTCAGCTCACTACAACCACTGCCTCCAGGGCTCAAGAGATTCTCCTGCCTCAGCCTCCCAAGTAGCTGGGATTACAGGTGCCTGCCACCACACTGGGCTAATTTTTGTATTTTTAGTAGAGACGGGGTTACACCATATTGGCCAGACTGGTCTTGAATTCCTGAGCTCAAGTGACCCGCCTGCCTCAGGCTCCCAAAAGTGCTGGGATTACAGGTATGAGCCACTGTACCTGGCCTCGTATTCAACTTTTAAAACCCAGCTTCCAGGCTGGCTGCAGTGGCTGACACCTATAATTCCAGCACTTTGGGAGGCTGAGACAGGAGGATTGTTTGAGGCCAGGAGTTTCAGACAGGCCGGGCAACATAAGGAGATTTTATCTCTATAATTTTTTTTTTTTTTTGAGACAGAGTCTCACTCTGTCGCCCAGGCTGGAGTCCAGTGGCATGATCTTGGCTCACTGTAACCTCCGTCTCCCAGGTTCAAGCAATTCTCGTGCCTCAGCCTCCCAAGTAGCTGGGATTACAGGCGTGCACCACTAAGCCCAGCTAATTTCTTTGTATTTTTAGTAGAGACGGGGTTTCACCATGTTGACCAGGTTGGTCTTGAACTCCTGACCTCAGGTGATCCACCCACCTCGGCCTCCCAAAGTGTTGGGATTACAGGCATGAGCCACTGCACCCGGCCTACAAAAAATTGTTTAAAAAATTAGCCGGGTGCCGTGGTGCATGCCTGTAGTCCCAGTTACTTGAGAGGATCTCTTGAGCCCAGGAGTTTGAGGCTGCAGTGAGCTATGATCATGGCACTGCACTCCAGTGTGGGAGACAGAGTGAGAACCAGTCTCTTAAAAAAAGAAAAAAAACAAGTCCAGCTTCCAACACCCATCCTCTGGCAGACATTGACTATTTCTGTTGGGTCTGAGCTTTGAAGGATGAACAGGAGTTACTAAGCAAAGGGCATTCTGGACAGAAGGAAAAGTGTGCCTATCAGCATGATGGTGCACAGCTGTTTTATGTTTGCATGGTGAGGAACACAGAGTCAAAGGGAGCAAGGTTGTCAGGGACCTGATAGGTTGGTCAAGATGTTTGACCCTTTTCTACTTGGCCACTAGGAAGCTCCCTTTGCATCAGATTTTGTGTCTCTAACTCCCAGCAGGCTTGGAAGCTGGATCTGCCTACACTTCCCCAGGCCACCTACCGGATGTCAGCACTCAGCCGGCGGCCATAGTCCACCTCGCTGCGCTCCCATCCCTCCTCCCGGTCTTCACTGAAGCTCCTTTCAGCGAAGGTAGGAGTGGGCTGGACGGCCAGGAACTCAGAGCTGCTGTAGACCTGGGAGGCAAGACAAAAGAATGTTAAGCCAGGTGCGGTGGCTCATGCCTATAATCCCAGCACTTTCAGAGGCCCAGCCGGGAGGATCACTTGAGCCCAGGAGTTTGAGACCAGCCTGGGCAACATAGCAAAACCCTGTCTCAAAAAAAGAAAAAAGAAAAAAAGAAAGAAACCCAAACAAAAAAACCAGTAAAAACAAAGGTGGCAAGAAAGCTGGCTTAGACTGGGTGTGGTGGCTCATGCCTGTAATCCTAGCACTTTGGGAGGCTGAGGTGGGTGGATCACTTGAGGTCAGGCGTTCAAGACCAGCCTGGCCAACATGGTGAAACCCGTCTGTTCTAAAAATACAAAAATTAGCTGGGTGTGGTGGCGCATGCCTGTAGTCCCAGCCTCTTGGGAGGGTGAGGCAGGAGAATGGCTTGAACCTGAAAGGCAGAGGTTGCAGTGAGCCGAGATCGTGCCACGGCACTCTAGCCTGGGAGACAGAACGAGACTCTGTTTCAAAAAAAAAAAAAGAAAGCTGGCTTAGTTGAGTGATTCCTACGTGCCAGGTGCTTCAGTATGAGTCACTTCCCTAAATCCTCACTCCCCACATCCCTAAAAGAGCATAGACTTTAGCCCATTGTACAGATGGAAAAACTGAGGCTCAGGGGCCAGGCTACCAGGCTGGGTTTTTGCTGCTGACTAGAAAGTCCTGCCTGGGGCCCAGGCCTAAAGCAGAGTGGAGCGTTTTTTGATCAAATCATAAACAAAGTAGGGAATGTGAGTTAAGCTCATGAGGTTATAAAATAACACCCAGGGCCAGGCTCGGTGGTTCATGCCTTTAATCCCAGGGCTTCGGGAGGCTGAGGTGGGCGGATTGCTTGAGGACAGGAGTTTGAGACCAGCCTGGCCAACATGGTGAAACCCTGTTGCTACTAAAAATACAAAAATTAGCCGGGTGTGGTGGCGTGCACCTGTAATCCCAGCTACTTGGGAGGCTGAGGCAGGAGAATGGCTTGAACCCAGAAGGTGGAGGTTGCAGTGAGCTGAGATTGCACCCTTGCACTCCAGCCTGGGCAAGAGAGAAAGACTCCATCTCAATAAATAGATAAATAAGTAAATAAAATAAAAGAACACCCAGCATGGCACCTGTATTCAAAGTGGAATAGACCCAAACTTGCATCAAAGGATGGGTGGATAAACAATGTGTTCCATCCATACGATGGAATATTACGCAGCCATAAAAAGGAAGCAAACACTGGTCCACACGGCAGCAGGGATGAGCCTTGAGTACACGATGCTGAGTAAGAGAAGCCAGACACAAAAGGCCACATAGTATGAGATCCCATTGATATGAAATGCCCAGAACAGGCAAATCCATAAAGATGGAAGCTGAAGGAGGATGAATGGGGAGTGGTTGCTAATGGCTACAGATTATTTTTTGGGGGGAATCAAATGTTTGAAAGCTAGATAGAGGTGATGGTTGCACAACATTGTGAACGTGCTGAATGCCACGAAATTGTACACCTTATTTTACTTTATTATTATTCTTTTTTGAGACATAGTCTCGCTCTGTCGCCCAGGCTGGAGTGCAGGAGTGTGATCTTAGCTTACTGCAGCCTCCACCTCCAGGGTTCAGGCAATTCTCTTGCCTCAGCCTCCCGAGTAGCTGGGGTTACAGGCACCCACCACCACGCCCAGCTACTTTTTGTGTTTTTAGCCGAGACAGGGCTTCACCATGTTAGTCAGGCTGCTCTCGAACTCCTGACCTCAAGTGATCCACCCACCTCTGAAATTGTACGCTTTAAAATGGCTAAAACAAAAGCATAAAAAAGAAAAAGAAAAAAAAAAAAAAAAAGCCGGGCATGGTGGCTCACACCTGTAATCTCAGCACTTTGGGAGGCCGAGGTGGGCAGATCATAAGGTCAGGAGATCGAGACCATCCTGACTAACACAGTGAAACCCTGTCTCTACTAAAAATACAAATAAATTAGCCAGGCCTGGTGGCAGGCGCCTGTAGTCCCAGCTACTCAGGAGGCTGAGGCAGGAGAATGGGGTGAACCCGGGAGGCGGAGCTTGCAGTGAGCCGAGATCGCGCCACTGTACTCCAGCCTGGGTGACAGAGCGAGACTCCGTCTCAGGAAAAAAAAAAAAAAAAAAAAAAAAAAAGGAAAGAAAAAAATGAAACAAAATGGCTAAAATGGTATATTTTGTTATGTGTATTTTACCACACTAAAAAAAAATAAAAAAAACAAGGTCAGGCGTGATGGCTCATGCCTGTAATCCCAGCACTTTAGGAGGCCGAGGTGGGCAGATCATGAGGTTAAGAGTTTGAGACCAGCCTGGCCAACATGGTGAAACCCCAATCTCTACTAAAAATACAAAAAATTTACCAGGTGCAGTGGCTCATGCCTGTAATCCCAGCATTTTGGGAGGCCGAGGCAGGAGGATAGCCTGAGGTCAGGAGTTTGAGACCAGCCTGGCCAACATGGTGAAACCCTGTCTGTACTAAAAATACGAAAAATTAGCCGGGCGTGGTGGCAGGTGCCTGTAATCCCAGCTACTCAGGAGGCTGAGGCAGGAGAATCGCTTGAACCCAGGAGGCAGAGGTTGCAGTGAGCCGAGACCGCGCCATTGCACTCCAGCCTGGGCGACACAGCGAGACTCAATCTCAAACAAAACAAAACAAAACAAAAAAGCAATACAATTCCTAGCACTTTGGGAGGCCGAGGTGGGAGGAACACTTAAGCCCAGGAGTTTGAGACCAGCCTGGGCAGCATAGCGAGACCCCATCTCTACAGAACAAAACAAAACAAAACCAAAAAAACAGATATGAAAGCAAATAGACATCATGCAATGTTTCCCGAGCAGTGGCTCCCTCCGGGGCCCAGGCCCACCTTGCTGAACCGGTGGGAGCAGGAGGAGAACTGGGGGATCTCTGTGGATGATTCTTCATCATTGGTTTCGTCGTCCTCGGAGCCCAGGTGGCGGTAACGTTCCGAACGGGCTGTGGGAGGAAGAGGCACGTGCAGCACGCCTGATGCCCAGAGATGATCTCAAGGGCAGTGTGGCGATGTAGGGAGGGCATCTCAGGATAGGGTCACTGCCAGGGCAAAGGCTCTGAGGTAGGACAGTGTCTGGTGTGTTTAAGGACCACAGGAGGCTTGGGGGGCAGAGCAGATATCTGGGGATTAACACCAGCTGTGTCCCTAAAAAGTTGTGGGGCCGGGCGCAGTGGCTCACGCCTGTAATCCCAGCACTTTGGGAGGCCAGGGCGGGTGGATCACTTGAGGTCAGGAGTTCGAGACCAGCCTGGCCAACATGGTGAAACCCCATCTCTACTAAAAATACAAATATTAGCTGGGCAGTAGTGGTACGTGCCTGTAATCCCAGCTACTTGGGAGGCTGAGGCAGGAGAATCGCTTGAGCCTGGGAGGCGGAGGTTGTGGTGAGTCAAAATCGCACCACTGCACTCCAGCCTGGGTGACAGAGTGAGACTCCGTCTCAAAAAATAAATAATTAAAAAGTTGTGGGACCAATTAGCCAAGCATGGTGGCGGGCACCTGTAATCCCAGCTACTCGGGAGGCTGAGGCAGATTGCTTGAACCCTGGAGGCAGGTTTCAGTGAGCCGAGATCGCACCACTGCACCCCAGCCTGGGCGACAGAGCCAGACTCTGTCTCAAAAAAAAAAAAAGCTGTGGGACCAGGGGTGGGAATTCCTATTTCTGAGCTTCAGTGATTCCTTGAGATGGGTCACACAGAATTAAGTAAAATTGTGCATCTCTTTTTTTTTTTTTTCTTTTTTGAGGCAGAGTTTTGCTCTTGTTGCCCAGGCTGGAGTACAATGGCACCATCTCAGCTCACCGCAACCTCCACCGCCCAGGTTCAAGCAATTCTCGTGCCTTAGCCTCCCAAATAGCTGGGATTACAGGCGCCCGCCACCATGCCTGCCTAATTTTTTGTATTTTTAGTAGAGATGGAGTTTCTCCATGTTGGTCAGGCTGGTCTTGAACTCCTGACCTCAGGTGATCTGCCCACCTTGACCTCCCAAAGTGCTGGGATTAAAGGCTTGGGCCACCGCACCTGGCCAAAATTGTGCATCTCAAACATAAAGGATGTTCCTCATTTTACAGAAGAGGAAACAGAAGCTCAGAGAAGACCTCTGACACGAAGCAAGTTCTGAAGGAGGGGCTGGACACTGAAGGGCAGGACCACCAAGTGGGGAGAGACAGTCATTCCTCAGAGCTCACCTACAGTGCCCCTGCAGGGACGCCTCCACTAAAGCTGCACGAGGCGCCCTACCCTCCTGGGTGACAGATGGGGCCCCATGCCTGGTCAGGGACGGACACCCAGGAGGCCCAATTTGCTGGGGAACCTCAGACAAGGGTCTGCCACACTTGGTGCCTTGGTTTCTTCTGAAGCCTGAGGGATGCTGTGGCCTCCTGAGCCCAGACGCACAAGAAATCCAGCCAGGGGGCAGCCGACACATGCCCTAGATTCTTGGAAGGCTCAGAAAGTCGGAAGCTCCAGGCCTAGGGTGAGGTGCCAAGCTCGGGTGGAACGCCTGGCACACAGCCCTCTGCACCCAGGGATTGAGGGATGGCAGAGCCCCCCACCCCCGCCAGGGGGACCCCTCCTTACTGTCAAAGTAGCTGGTATCATCCTCGGCTTCGAGCTGGGGCACGAACTCGGCTTTGTGTCGGAGAAGCCCTGCCCAGTCCAGGGCCAGGAAAAAGGGGTGCTGCTTCACTTCATGGGTGCCACCTGCAGATATGCCCAGCTGAGCCCCGCGGGTCCTCGCCTCACCTGCCACAGGATGCCCACCACCCCCCACTGCCGATGCTGGACACAGGGTAGGGACAACACAGAACCAGAAAAATGGGCTGGGCACAGTGGCTCACGCCTATAATCCCAGCACTTTGGGAGGCCAAGAAGGGAGGATCACCTGAGGTCAGGAGTTCAAGACCAGCCTGGCCAACATGGCAAAACCCCGTCTCTACTAAAAATATAAAAATTAGCTGGGTGTGGTGGCGGGTGCCTGTATTCCCAGCTACTCGGGAGGCTGAGGCAAGAGAATCGCTTCAACCTGGGAGGTGGAGATTGCAGCAATGAGCCAAGATAGCACCACTGCACTCCGACCTGGGCAACAAAGCGAGACTCCATTTCAAAAAAATAACAACAACAACAGAAAAAAAAAAAAGAAAAGAAAAAAAAGAATCAGAAAAATGGGAACAAAAATCCGCTGTCATTTAGGAGACTGGAGAGGGACCAAGTCGGGATTCAGACTCAGGCCAGCAGCCAAGCATGGTGGCTCATGCCTGTGATGCCAGTACTTTGGGAGGCTGAGGCGGGCAGATCACTTGAGGTCAGGAGTTTGAGACCAGCCCGGGCAACACGGTGAAATCTCGTCTCTACGAAAAGTACAAAAATTAGCCGGGCACGATGGCACATGCCTATGGTTCCAGCTACTCCAGAGGCTGAGGTAGGAGGATCACTTGAGCCTGGGAGGTGGAGGTTGCAGTGAGCCAAGATTGTGCAACTCCACTCCAGCCTGGGTGACAGAGTGAGATCTAATCTCAGAAAAATAAAAAAATAAAAAAGCACCCAGGCTGCCCAGGTTCCAAAGATTCTGTACTTCTCTCTGCTCCCATCTGGGACCACACCACCTAGAGAAAGCCCAGGGCCTTACGAGGGCCTCCTTCCTGGGCTTCTCCCACTTGTTTCTGATCCACGGAGCAGGTGATGATCCCCAACCTTGGACTCAACCATCTCCCATAGCGAAGCTTCACTCATGAACAGGAGCCACAGTGGCCACGTGACGGGTGGCTGCATGAGTCTCAAAAGGTCCCTTAATGATTAACCAGGTGGCTGGGAAAACTGGGACAGTGGGATCTTCCGGGTTGGGCCTTTGACACAGGTCCTGGTGACTTCACAGCCTCACATACTTATTCAGGCTCAGTGCTCCTTGTGGGCACCAGACCCAGCTACTTCCTATTCTTTCCAAGGTCTTCTGATAGTTCCTGGAGACCTCCTATGCAGCCTTCAAAACCCCAGCTGCAAACCCCCTCCTCCATGCAGCTTCCCAAGTAGAACTCTTATCTACCCCAGGCACTATCCCTCCCCCTGTTTCCTGGGTCCCAGGGCCTGAAGGAGCCACCCACCTGGGTTCTCCCCCACACTACATACCAGTGCCCAGACGGTCCAGTGGGCTCTGCCGGAGCAACCTGGTGATGAGGTCCTGGGCGTCCGCTGGAAGGGCCTCGTCTCCCTCTGGCCACATGATCTCATCTAAAATGAGGGAGGGAGGGAGAAGGCAGGGGTACCCCTTTCTAGTACCATCCACCATTTCCCCTCACTTCACTGTACTCCAAGCCACTGGCCTCCTCTGCCCCTTCAATGTGCCAGGCTCAGTACCCACTGACAGCCTTTGCCATGGCTGTGCCCTGTGCTCAGAGCTACTTTCCCTTTTCTGTCTCTATGGCTTCCTCTCATTCTCAGGTTCTTGCAGGTCTCTGCTCACATGTCACTTCTTTTTTTTTATTTTTTGAGATGGAGTCTCGCTCTGTCGCCCAGGCTGGAGTGCAGTGGCACAATCTCAGCTCACTGCAACCTCCGCCTCCTGGGTTCACGTGATTCTCTTGCCTCAGCCTCCCAAGTAGCTGGGATTACAGGTGCCCGCCACTACGCTCGGCTAATTTTTGTATTTTTAGTAGAGATGGGGTTTCATGTTGTCCAGGTCTTGAACTCCTGGCCTTATATGATCCTCCCGCCTCAGCCTCCCAAAGTGCTGGAATTACAGGTGTGAGCCACCATGCCCAGCCTCACATGTCATTTCAGTGAAGACTCCATGACCCCATAATTAATCCAGCCATCCGTCTCACTCAGCACCCCGCCGCCTCCCCACCTGGCATCCAACTCCCTCCCATCTTCCTGCTTCTCTCCCTGACATGCGGGTGGAGGACCGCTGCCCAGAGCTCTGGTGGGGCTGCAGCTCAAACCCGGGCCCGTGGAGGAAACGCACCGCTGACCACCTGACCGAAGAGTTCCTCGGGGGTGTCTCCAAAGAAAGGCACGCAGCCCACCAGAAACTCATAGAGGACGACGCCCATGGCCCACCAGTCCACTGGCTTCCCATAGCCCTGGCGGAAGATCACCTCGGGGGCTATGTACTCCGGTGTTCCACACACCTAGGCCAGGCAGAATGGGGAAACTGAGACCAGCCCCCAGCCCGAGAGAGGCCCCAGGAGAGAGGAGGCAGCGTCCCAGGGCTTCCCACCCACCTGCCCACCCACCTGCTTGTCTATGAACTCTCGGGCGTCCTTCTCGATGTGGCCCTCGTAGAGGTTGGTGGCCATGCTCATGAGGCCGATCTTGGACAGGCCAAAGTCCGTGAGCTTGATGTGGCCAAGCGAGGTGATGAGCAGGCTGTGGGCAGGCAAGGAGTCTGCTCAGGGCTGGGGAGCCGGGGTGCCTGGCCACTCCTTCTGCCCTAGACCTTGGCTCCACCTGAGATGGGCGGAGCTCTGCCTCCAATTCCTGGGCCCTAGGGATCCTCCTGATCCTCCTGCTCATCCTCCTGATCCTCCTGCTCAGCCTCCCAAGTAGCTGGAACTACAGGTGCACACCACCACACCCAGCTGTGTTTTTTTTTTTTTTTTTTTTTTTTTTTGTAGATATGAGGTCTTGCTATGTTGCCCAGGCTGGTCTTGAATTGCTGGCCCCAAGCAATCCTCTCACCTTTGAAAGTGCTGGCATGACAGGTGTGAGCCAGCATGCCTGGTCTCTACTGTGTGTGTGTATATGTGTATGTGTATATATGTGTGTGTGTGTGTGTATGTGTGTATATATGTGTATATATATATATTTTTGGACATAGCTTTGCTCTGTCGCCCAGGCTGGAGTGCAGTGGCACGATCTCGGCTCACTGCACCCTCCATCTCCCAGGTACAAGTGATTCTTCTGCCTCAGCCTCTCGAGTAGCTAAGGTTACAGACACACGCCACCACACCCGGCTAGCTACTACATATTTTTGTTCATGCATCCATTATCTTAACAAACTAAACACTCTGTAAGCAACCACTGTTTACATCCCCTATTGAAAAATGAACATATCTCGAGCTCCTGATGTATACAAAAGCATTTCCATGCACTTTGTGAATGAATGCATTTTCTTTTTTGGATACAGGGTCTGTCACCTAGGCTGGAAGTGCAGTGGCACAATTGCAGCTCACTGCAGCCTCAGCCTCCCAGCTCAATCAATTCTCCTGCCTCAGCCTCCTGAGTAGCTGAGACAACAGGCACATGCCACCATGCCTGGCTAGTTGTTCCAAGTCTTGCTTGGTCACCCAGACGGGAGTGCAATGGCATGACCTCAGCTCACTGCAACCTCCACCTCCCAAGTTCAAGTGATTCTCCTGTCTCAGCCTCCCGAGTAGCTGGGATTACAGGCACCCACCATCATGCCCGGCTAATTTTTGTATTTTTGTAGAGACAGGGTTTCACCATATTGGCCAGGTTGGTCTTGAACTCCTCACCTCAGGTGATGCGCCCGCCTCAGCCTCTTGAAGTGTTGATGTTACAGGCATGAGCCACCGGGCCCGGCTGCCGGGTTAGTTTTTACAATTTTCTTGTACAGATGGGGTCTCACTATGTTGCCCAGACTTGTCTCAAAATCCTGGGCTTGGCCGGGCACAGTGGCTCATGTCTGTAATCCCAGCACTTTGGGAGGCCGAGGCGGGTGGATCACAAGGTCATGAGATTGAGACCATCCTAGCCAACATGGTGAAATCCCATCTCTACTAAAAATACAAAAAATTAGCCGGGCGTGGTGGTGGGCGCCTGTAGTCCCAGCTACTTGGGAGGCTGAGGCGGGAGAATGGCGTGAACCCGGGAGGTGGAGCTTGCAGTGAGCCGAGATTGCTCCACTGCATTCCAGCCTGGGTGACACAGCGAGACTCCATCTCAAAAAAATAACAAATAAATAAAATCCTGGGCTCAAGCAGTGCTGCTGCCTCAGCCTCCCAAAGGGTTGGGATTACAGGCATGAGACACAGCACTCAGCCTGGATGAACTTTTTTTTTTTTGAGACAGAGTTTCGCTCTTTTTGCCCAGGCTGGAGCGCAATGGCGCAATCTCAGTTCACCGCAACCTCTGCCTCCCGGGTTCAAGCGATTCTCCTGCCTTAGCCTCCTGAGTAGCTGGGATTACAGCCATGCACCACCATGCCTGGCTAATTTTGTATTTTCAGTCGAGGCAGGGTTTCTCCATGGTGGTCAGGCTGATTTTGAACTCCTGACCTCAGGTGATCCGCCTGCCTCGGCCTCTCAAAGTGCTGGGATTACAGGCGTGAGCCACCGTGCCTGGCGAGGGAACTCATTTTTAAAACTCTCGCGCATGTACAGTATACACTGCTAGTTAGGTTTTCCTGTGGACTTAAATATATAAATGTTTCACTACATCACAGAGTCTTACGCACCAGCTGTATGAAGTCGCGTTTCCGTGCACCTTCTGGGTGCATCTGCCACTTAAAAATACATTCCAGGCCGGGCGCGGTGGCTCAAGCCTGTAATCCCAGCACTTTGGGAGGCCGAGACGGGCGGATCACGAGGTCAGGAGATCGAGACCATCCTGGCGAACATGGTGAAACCCCGTCTCTACTAAAAAATATAAAAAACTAGCCGGGCGTGGTGGCGGGCGCCTGTAGTCCCAGCTACTCGGGAGGCTGAGGCAGGAGAATGGCGGGAACCCGGGAGGCGGAGCTTGCAGTGAGCCGAGATCGCGCCACTGCACTCCAGCCTGGGCGACAGAGCGAGACTCCGTCTCAAAAAAAAAAAAAAAAAATACATTCCAGAGAATTCACTGTGTATAACCATCATTTAATGAACTATGTAGTCAGTACCTCCTGTTTGCGCCAGCTCTGTAAAGAAACAATTCTGGGCCAGGGGTGCTGGCTCATGCCTGTAATCCCAGCACTTTGGGAGGCCAAGGCAGGTGAATTAGCTAAGATCAGGAGTTCGAGACCAGTCTGACCAACATGGCAAAACCCCGTCTCTACTAAAAATACAAAATTAGGCCAGGCACGGTGGCTCACGACTGTAATCCCAGCACTTTGGGAAGCCAAGGCTGGCGGATCACAAGGTCAGGAGATCCAGACCATCCTGGCCAACATGGCGAAACCCCGTCGCTACTAAAAATGCAAAAATTAGCTGGGCCTGGTGGCGCATGCCTGTAATCCCAGTTACTTGGAAGGCTGAGGCAAGAGAATCGCTTGAACCAGGGAGTCTGAGGTTGCAGTGAGCCAAGATCGCACCACGGCACTCCAACCTAGTGACAGAGCAAGACTCCGTCTCAAAAAAAAAAAAAAAAAAATTAGTGGAGTATGGTGGCACATGCCTATAATCCCAGCTACTCGGGAGGCTGAGGCAGGAATACTGCTTGAACCCAGAAGGTAGAGGTTGCGGTGAGCCAAGATTGTGCCACTGTACTCCAGCCTGGGCGACAGAGACTGACCCTGTCTCAAAAAAATAAATAAAAAAATAAATAAAATAAAGTGTTCTGGGCCAGGTACACAGTCATTGCCTAATAACTGTTCTTCTGCCTATTTTGTACACACCTGGTGCCTAACAAGTACATGCCAACCAAGAAATTGTGATATAGAAACCCAACATTAGTGTCTAAGGAGTTATTCATACTTGAGTTCCTTAGAGCATCGAGCACAGGCTCAGGTACACAGCAGGTGCCAAATACATGTCTGTTTTCTAAGCCACTTGCCAACTGCAAAATGCCCTGAAAACATGCAAGGCGCTGTTTTTTTTAGATGGAGTCTCGCTCTGTCGCCCAAGCTGGGGTGCAGTGGCACAATCTTGGCTCACCGCAACCTCCGCCTCCTGGGTTCAAGCAATTCTCCTGTCTCAGCCTCCCGAGTAGCTGGGACTACAGGTGCGCACTACCACTCCCAGCTAATTTTCATATTTTTAGTAGAGACAAAGTTTAACTATGTTGGCCAGGCTGGTCTTGAACTTCTGACCTCAGGTGATCGTCCCGCCTCGGCCTCCCAAAGTGCTGGGATTACAGGTATGAGCCGCTAAGCCTGGGCTACATGCCACGCATGTATGTGAGAAACGTCAGTTCTTGCCTCATATCTCGAGGACACTTGATAAACGGGTATTCCTTTTCCCTGTACACAGGAGGCACTCAATAAATGCAGAGGAGAAAATCATACAGGGGTTTCAAAGCAGGTGGCCCTGTGTCTCCCACTTGCCCATAGAGGGTCTGCCATGCAGTAGGTGCTTACTACATACTAGAATAACATAAACATCCTAAGGCTCTCAGTAAACACGTTCTCTTCCTTGCTTTCCTGCACTAATTTACAGCAGGTGCTCAAGACATGCATGGTCACTGTGTTTACATCTAAGGTCTTGCAAATTGCATAATCCTGTTCTGTGTATGTAGCTGGTGTCTTATAAGTGCATGTTCTCTCCCCTTGTGCTGCAGCAGCTCTGGGTGCGCAGCCCCTTCTCCTATATACAGTGTGTGCATCCTAAGTGCACATCCTCTCCCCTTGATTGGCAGCACCTCCATAAGTGCACCGGCCTTCCCCTGCATACAGCAGACGCCTATTAAGTGTCTCCTCTCCTCTCCTCTGTACACACAAGATGTTCATCATGCGCTCATTCCCTGCCTTCTTGTCAGGAGGTGCCAACAGAGCTCAGGCTTCCAAAGGGTCCTGGGATCCACCTCAGAGGCTCCGCCCCTGATCCTCTCAGGCCCCGCCGTGATCTGCTCTGGCCCCGCCCAGATCCTCTCTGGCCCCGCCCTCCCCCAGGCCCCGCTCATGCTAGCTCAGCTCACTTGTCTGGTTTGAGGTCACGGTGCACGATGCCGTAGTTGTGCAGGTACTCGAGCGCCAACACCGTCTCGGCGAAGTACAGGCGGGCCATGTCCACGGGCAGCGGGCCCATGTTCTTCAAGAGCGTGGCGCAGTCGCCGCCTGGGAGAGGGGCGGATGTAGTCATGAGGCCCAGGCCAGCGCCTCGCCCCCGCCCCCAGATTATGCCCAATGGCTACGCATCTTCCTCACTTTACCGCCTGCAAAGCGTCCCCAGTTTGTTCTGTCTCAGCGGAGAGGGTCAGGGCAGAGGAAAGGGGCGGACCCTACCTTCATTTATTTTTTATTATTTATTTATTTATTTATTCATTTATTTCTTTTGAGACGGAGTCTCGCTCTGTTGCCCAGGCTGGAGTGCAGTGGCGCGATCTCGGCTCACCGCAACCTCCACCTCCCGGGTTCAAGCGAGTCTCCTGCCTCAGCCTCCAGAGTAGCTGGGATTACAGGCGCACACCACCACACCCAGCTAATTTTTGTATTCTTAGTAGAGAAGGGGTTTCACTATGTTGGCCAGGATGGTCTTGATCTCTTGACCTCGTGATCCACCTGCTTTGGCCTCCCAAAGTGCTGAGATTACAAGCGTGAGCCACCGCGCCCTGCCTTGGCCTCCCAAAGTGCTGAGATTACAAGCGTGAGCCACCGCGCCCAGCCTATTTTTTAAATTTTTATTTATTTTATTGAGACAGAGCCTCACTCTGTCGCCCAGGCTAGAGTGCAGTGGCACAGTGTCGGCCCACTGCAACCTCCGCCTCCAGAGTTCAAGCGAATCTCCTGCTTCAGCCTCCCGAGTAGCTGGGACTATAGGCGTGAAGAGGGGTTTCGCCATGTTGCTCAGGCTGGTCTCGAAGTCCTGACCCAAGGGATCAGCCCACTTCGGCCTCCCAAAGTGCTGGGACTACAGGCGTGAGCCAGCGTGCCAAGCTGAGACCCTGCCTTCTGATTCTCCCCAGCAGGGCAACAACTACGGCATGGTCTCTTTCCCTGTACACAGCTGGTGTTTCCTAAGTGCAGGTTTGCTCTCTAACCTGGGAGTACTTTGGTAATAGTGCTTTACCTGCCTGAACCATACATCTCCCTGCCTTCACTTCTGGCCTCCAGGCCTCTGCCCATCAGTTCCCCCAACCTAGGATGGCCACCCTCCTCTTGCCTCCAGGGTCCCATCCTCACACACTCCTGTCTGGGCTCCCCCAGCCGTGAACCCCCATCGCTGGGGTCCCTACCCCAGACTGGGGTTCCTGAGGGTTCCCCAAAGCACGGTGAGATCTCATATAGAGAACAGAACAGACCTCAACTTGGTCTAAAAATTTTCTCCCAGGCATGGAGGGGTGAGCTCCCCATCGCTGGAGGCATGCAAGCCCCAGTGACCGTACCTTCCACATATTCCATGACCATACACAGGTGGCGCCGGGTCTCAAAGGAGCAGAACATGCTGACCACAAAGGGGTTCTCGGCAAAGGTGAGAATGTCACGTTCCACAAAGACCTGCTGGATCTGGTTACGCAGGATCAAGTTCTGTTTGTTGATCTTCTTGATGGCAAAGCGCTGCCGCGTGTCACGGTGCCGCACCAGGTAGACAGCCCTGGGGACAGGGGGCCAGGCTTGCTGGGACCAGAGATCGAGGCCCCAGCAGGCACTGCAGTTCAGCTTGAGCCCAGATCCCAACCTGCCTGGCCTTTGCCTGTGCTGTGCCCTCTGCCTGGGCCACCCTTTCTTCTTACCTAGTCTCCCTCCCAGAGCAGCCACCCTTGGGTTTAAGCTGCCATTGCTGGGGGTCATATAAATGGGCTGCACATGGCCCTTGTATATTGGCCTCTAGGCTGTATGTTTCTTTTATTTTTATTTTATCTTATTTTACGTTTTTAGAGATAGCGCCTCACTCTGTTGCCCAGGCTGGAGCGCAGTCATGAGATCATGGCTCACCATAGTCTTGACCACCCGCCCCGCGCAGGCTCAAATGATCCTCCCACATCAGAAGCCTGGCTAATGTTTACATGTTTTGTAAAGATGGCGTCTCGCTATGTTGCAGAGGCTAGTCTCAAACTCCTGGTCTCAAGTGACCTTCCCACCTTGGCCTTCCAAAGTGCTGGGATTATAGGTGAGAGCCACTGCACCTGGCTGCTTGTGTCTTTCTTTCTCTCTCTCTCTCTCTCTCTCTCTCTTTCTTTTTAGACGGTCTCACTCTGTCACCCAGGCTGGAGTGCAGTGGGGCGATCTCGGCTCACTGCAACCTCTGCCTCCTGGGTTCAGGTGATCCTCCAACTTCAGCCTCCCAAGTAGCTGGAATTACAGGCATGTGCCATTATGCCCAGCTAATTATTCTATTTTTAGTAGAGATGGGGTTTTGCCATGTTGCCCAGGCTGGTCTCGAACTCCTAGCCTCAAGCGATCCTCCTACCTCGGCCTCCCAAAGTGCCTCCGCACCCAGTCCAGCTCTTTTAAAAGCCTGCTAGCACCAAGCTCAAATTTTTAACCATCCGTTTGTTTTACACACAGCCCAAATAAGCAAAATTTTAGCCACTGAGAGCCTGTTTGCTTTGCAGACTCATGAAACTGCACCCACTATCTCTGAGTCATGGATAAGATGAACTTTGTGGATTTCAAGACCCTAAGCTGCTACCGCCCCGCAGGACTCTGACCCAGAGATTCCGTGCCTGTGCTGTTGAACAACATCACTTAGACACGTAAGCCCTCTCTCTGATTCCCGTCTCCCCGGGGAGTTCCCTTGCCGGCCTCTCCCTCTCGATGGTGACTCCTGGAACCTCAGCCTCCAAAGGGCTTATGCTGTGCAGGACTTCCCTTGTATGCAAGCCTGCCATTCAAAGTAGCACCTAAATAAAACCCACTGCGTGCTACTCCCACTGGGTGGGCATCTATTTCCTTGATCAGCCCCCAAGCTCCTAGAACGCCCTACACCTGGGGCAGGTAAAGGCCTGGCTCGTGGACAGAGCACACGTGAGGCCGTAACCTCGCTATGGCGTGCCTCCACTTCCCCCTCCAGGCCTCAGGTGCCCTCTCTGCCAATTCAGGGGTGAATGTGTGAGCCCTGCTAGGGTGGGAGGGGGACGCAGGAGCTGCCTGGGCCTCAACCATCCCCTCAGGCATCTGTGAAATGGGTCTATGCAGGACTCAGGGACTCACCCATAGGCTCCGTTGCTAATGAGTTTGATGGTCTCAAAGTCGCTTTCGCATGGCTTCCTCCGTGACTGGCCGACCAGGGCGCGGCTCTGGGGGACGGGAAGGGCTCAGGGTCCCGTCCCACTGCAGAGCTGGCCAGGCTTCTCCCGCCCCCAATCCCAAACCACTGGTCCTGGTGCCTGATGCTACCTCCTCCCCTGTCCAAACTTCTCCAACTCAGCTTCTGACTTTCTGTCCTTTTTTGCTCACAGCTGTGCCCTCCTCCTGGAAAACTCTTATACATCCTGCAAAACTCACCTTTCCGGTGCCCCTCCAGCACTGCCCCCACCCAACTTCCAAGGCGTGACAGTCCCACCTGCTGTCACCTTGCCTCCAAAGTCACCGATGCTAATTAAGCTACATGCAAGACCTCGGCAAACCCAGCCCTTTCTGCGGATGCCTGGTCCACTCTGGAAAGAACAAGATGGGCGGGGGCCCCCCAGCCTCTGCTACTCACCTCCGGGGACTCAGGTGCTGGGGGCTGTTCTTCTTCAAGGTGACTCAGTGGCACCATCTCTGCAAGATGAGGGAGGAGCCTCAGCTGGGGCCTCCCCGCCTCACCCTGCATCACCCAGCAATTTCCTGAGGCCTCTAGATTTCTCACCCCCGGCTGGGGATGCGGTGCCTCCTCTTTCCAGCTCCCATGACACTGTCATGAAGCCACACCGGGGAGGCTGGATGAAGCAATGACTGAGGAACCTTCTAGAAGGGCCAGTGGGCTGCCCTGGCTCTGAAGTGCTCAGTTATGATCAAACTCAGGCTCTGAGCCTTGAGCCTGTGAACACGGAATGTGACGCAGGCCCCCTGGGTGTCAGCTCGTAACATCTTCCTCAGCTCAGGATGCAGCCCAGGTGGAGGGTCCAGTATGTTCTTGCCCCAGGCCTTGGCAGAAGGGCAGCCCCTAGCGAATGCCTGGCAAACATGGTCCAGTCACAGACCACATGTGATCTGGCCTTAGGTACACCTGGGTTTGATTCCCTGCTCAGCCTTATCTGCCTGGAGCTTCAGTTTCCCCAGTTTTATTTTTTATTAGTATGATTATTTAATTTAATTTATTTATTTATTAGAGATGGAGTCTCGCTCTGTCACCCAGGCTGGAGTGCAGTAGTGTGATCTCGGCTCACCGCAACCTCTGCCTCTTGGGTTCAAATGATTCTCCTGTCTCAGCCTCCCAAGTTGCTGGGATTACAGGTGTGTGCCACCACGCCCAGCTACTTTTATATTTATATTTTTATTTTTTTGAGACAAAGTCTCGCCCTGTCGCCCTGGCTGGAATGCAATGTCGCGATCTCGGCTCACTGCAACCTCTGCCTCCAGGGTTCAAATGATTCTCCTGCCTCAGCCTCCCCAGTAGCTGAAATTACAGGCGCACGCCACCACACTTGGCTAATTTTTGTATCTTTAGTAGAGACGGGGTTTCTCCCTGTTGGTCAGACTGGTCTCGAACTCGCAACCTCAGGTGATCCGCCCGCCTCGGCCTCCCAAAATGCTGGGATTACAGGTATGAGCCACTGTGCCCGGCCTAATTTTTGTATTTTTAGTAGAGACAGGGTTTTACCACATTGGCCAGGTTCGTCTCAAACTCCTGACCTCAGGTGATCCACCTGCCTTGGCCTCCCAAAGTGCTGGGATTACAGGCGTGAGCTACCGCACCAGGCCAAGTATGATTATTTCAGAGACAGGCTTTGCTCTGTCACCCAGGCTGGAATGCGGTGGTGCCATCACGGCTTACTGCAGCCTCAGCCTCCTAAACTCAAGCGATCCTCCCACCTCAGCCTCTCAAGTAGGTGGGACTACAGGCATTCACCACCACACCTGGCTAATTTTTAAAAATACTTTTTGTAGAGTTGGGGTCTTGCTCTGTTGCCCAGGCTGGAGTGCAGTGGTGCAATCATAGCTCACTGCAGCCTCAAATCCCTGGACTCAAGCAATCTTCCCACTTTAGTCCCGCAAGTAGCTAGGACTACAGGCATGTGCCATCACACCTGGCTAATTGTTTTGTTTTTTTTAATAGAGACAGAGTCTCACTATGTTGCCCAAGCTGGTCTCAAACTCCTGGCTTCAAGTGATCCTCCTGCCTTGGCCTCCCAAAGTGCTGGGATTACAAGTGTGAGCTACCATGCCTGGCTGCCCCAGCTTTAAATGGGGACAGTGGCAGCTCAGTCCCACTCCAGGTATGGTCCAATCTCAGGGTCTCTGCCTATGCTGTTACCCTTGCCTGTTTCACTCTTTCCCTTGGATCTGCAACCTGATCATGTCCTGCCCTCCAGGCCTCAGTTTGAACACTACCTCCTCCCAGAGCCTCCCCTGGCTACTGCTGGACCGGGCTAGGTCCAAGTTTAATGCTACAGCTTTTGCTTCCTCTTATCCTGGCTATTTGTGGAAATGTTGTTTTGTTTTGTTTTGTTTCCCTTTTTGAGACAGGGTCTGGCTTTGTCACCCAGGCTGGAGGACAGTGCTGTGATCATAGCTCACTGCAGTCACAACCTGCCAAGCTCAAGCGATCGTCCCACCTTAGCCTCCTGAGTAGCTGGGACTACAGGCACGCACTACTACACCCAGCTACATCTTTTTTTTTTTTTTTTTTTTGGAAATGTAGGCTCACTCTGTCACCCAGGCTGGAGTGTAGTGGTGCGATGTTGGCTCACTGCAACCTCTGTCTCCTGAATTCAAGCGATTCTCTTGCCTCAGCCTCCCAAGTAGCTGGGATTTACAGGCACCTGCCACCACACCCGGCTAATACTTGTTTTTAGTAGAGATGGAGTTTCCCCATGTTGGCCAGGCTAGTCTTGAACTCCTGAGCTCAAGTAATCCGCCCACTTCAGTCTCATGAAGTGCTGCGATTATGGGATTACAGGCATGAGCCACTGCACCTGGCTGGCTGTGGGAGTTTTTTTTTGTTTTGTTTTATTTTGAGACAGAGTCCCGCCTGTCGCCTAGGCTGGAATGCAGTGGTGTGATCTCGGCTCACTGCAACCTCCACCTCCAGGGTTCAAATGTTTCTCCTGCCTCAGCCTCCCCAGTAGCTGGGATTACAGGCACACACCACCACACCTGGCTAATTTTTGTATCTTTAGTAGAGACAGGGTTTCACCATGTTGTCCAGGCTGGTCTTGAACTCCTGACCTTGTGATCCACCCACCTTGGCCTCCCAAAAGTGCTAGGATTACAGGCATGAGCCACCGCGCCCGGCCGGCTGTGAGAGTTTTTGACCGTCTTCTTCTATTTTTTTTTTTTTTTTTTTTTGAGACGGAGTCTCGCTCTGTCACCCAGGCTGGAGTGCAGTAGCACGATCTCGGCTCACTGCAAGCTCTGCCTCCCGGGTTCATGCCATTCTCCTGCCTCAGCCTCCCGAGTAGCTGGGACTACAGGTGCCCACCACCGTGCCCGGCTAATTTTTTTGTATTTTTTTAGTAGAGACGGGGTTTCACCGTGTTAGCCAGGACGGTCTCGATCTCCTGACCTCAGGTGATCCACCCGCCTCGGCCTCCCAAAGTGCTGGGATTACAGGCGTGAGCCACCGCGCCCGGCCCCAACTGTCTTCTTCTTACCTACGGGTTGTCCTGTTTGACTCCAAGTCCACCTTCTGGGCCATAGTAAAGGCCACAGAAATTAATAAAGCCATTTGTGAATTTGCAGGACAAAGGGAAGGCCACTGCTAACACTGGTCCCCAGGCTTCCCGGCCATCTTAATGTGGCATTTGAGGACACTGAGGCCCCTGGGCCCCAAAAGATCAGTGGGTCTCAGCAATTCCCACAGGCGACCAAAGAGCAAGGTCACAGAGAGACAAAGAACAGTGTGGTGGTTCTGGAGTCGGATGGGCCTGGGTTTGAATCCTGGCTTCATCTGCTCTTTTCTTTTTTTTGAGACAGGTCTCGCTCTGTCGCCCAGGTTGGAGTGCAGTGGTGCGATCTCAGCTCACTGCAACCTCCATCTCCTAAGTTCAAGCAATTCTTGTGCCTCAGCCTCCCGAGTAGCTGGGATTACAGGCATGCGCCACCACACTTAGCTAATTTTTGTATTTTTAGTAGAGAGGGGGTTTCACCATGTTGACCAGGCTGGTCTCGAACTCCTGGCCTCAAGTGATCTGCCCGCCTCAGCCTCCCAAAGTGCTGGTATTAAAGGTGTGAGCCACCATGCCTGGCCTCCATCCGGCCTTTCCCAGCCTTGGTTTCCTCTTCCCATCCCAGCTTACCCTCCAGGGGGTCCTTGGCCAGGCCCAGCTGCCCAATGATGTACTGTGGAAGGTCAGTCTTAATGCCTTGGCCCTCCCGCGCATGGCCCTCAGCCGCCTCCAGCAGGTGGTAAAACTCCTCAGGGTCAAACTCCTAGGGGCACAGGAGGGCTGGTCACCCGGGGCTTGGTTCCACCTGCAGGCCTCTGCACATGCTGTTCCCTCTGCCTAGAGCACCCTTCCCAGCTCACCCCCTGGGTCTCCGCTCCCGATCCCTCCTCAGGGAAGCCCATGCTAGCCCAACAGCACCCTGCGTTCCTCTCAAAGCCCTACACGATGGCAACTGTCACTTGTATCTCAGCAGGACTGTCGTGGTCCCAATCTCAGTTCTGCCCGGATCCCAAGTTGGCTGTACAAGAATAAACTTACCAGACACTCCAGCAGCCGAGCTGGCCGCGAGATGATGATTAGCAGTTTCCGGACAAGCTGGACAATGAAGCTAACCTCCTCACTGTCCGAGCGCTCATGGGCCTGGGGGAGGTGGGTCGTGGCATCACCCAGAGGTCCTCAGCACCATCTGGCCCGGGGACCCCCTTCGCTCCACGTCCCACTGCATGCAAAACCTCAGCATGCGAGAAACCACGCACATCCTGCAGAAGCCGCTCCAGCTTCTCCTGCATCTCTAGGAAGTAGCGGGAGGTGACGAGGTTCTCGCCAGACTTGGCCAGGCAGTCTCGGGCCAGCTCGACGATCTGGTGGTGGATGAAGCCCAAGACGCCATCAGCCAGCGCCAGCCGGGCGCCAGGCGCGTAGGCCGTCAGGAACTCCTGCAGACGGCCCTCCATCTGTGCTGTGGCCTGGGTGGGGTGAGACGGGGCGACCTGGTCAAGGGTGGGGCTGGAGTGACACGCACAGAACGGGGCAGGAGAGGCATGGTTGGGGAGAGAGGAGATGGGGCGATTGGGGCGATGGGGGCGATGGGGGCGATGGGGTGGGAGGGCTGGGGCAGGAGGAACAACATGTTTCAGTGGAAGGGGAGGGAAAGACAGAAATGAACAGACTGGCAAGGGGGACACAGCCAGGAAGACAGAGTTCCATGGAGGGACAGCAATGTGGAGAGAAGCGCAGGGGCTGGTCCAGCCGCCAGGCGCTGCCCACCTTGGGGAACCTCTCCCGGTACACATGGTTCATCATGACAATCTCATTGTCGAAGGTCCCCGTTGCGCGGCCCGGGCTGAAAGGAAGACAGCTGGCTTGTGATATGGGACCTCAGACCAACCCCAGGGGAGGATGTCGGGGCTCTTAGCCAGGGTTGAGGGACAAGAATCAGAGGCTAGGGTGGAGGAGGAGCCACAACTTGGGCCTCCACACCAGCCCAGGGAGGGGCCGGGGCTAGGGCCAGAGGTCGAGGCCCACCTGAGGCTGCGAGAGCGGGGGCGGAGGCGGGGTGACCGGCCGCCTTCCTCATCAAGCACGTTCTCTGAGCTGCGGAAGTGCTTGGACAGGAAGTGCAGCTCGTCTGGCGTCGGCTGGAAGGGAAGCTGGTGGAGACGTTCCCGGGAGGATGAGCTTGACTGGTAGAGAGTGGTGGGGATTAGAGTCATGAGTTCACTGTCAGTGGTGTGGCCAGGACCCCAGCACCACCCCTCAAGGGCCAGGCTGTCTGCTGGTCATCAGATGGCCATCAGATGGTAACATTCTTTCTCCTGTCTAGTTCCTATGCATCCCTCAAAACCCTAGCTCTGATGCCCCCTCCTCCAGGAAGTCCTCCCTGTCTGTACCCCTGGGCAGCCCCAAGTCCCCCTCTGGCCAGGCCCTGATCCCATAGGCTGGGGATATCTGTATCTCCCCGACTGGGGTCTATTTTGGGGCCAAGGCTGGGTCTTCTCAGGGGACCCTGCATTTTCCAGAATGGGGCATGCATGGAGGAAGTAGCTAGTATGGTTGCTGACCGCACAACTACCCAACACCTTGAAGAAAACACACAAAGATGTGTCCCCCCCCAACCCGGCATCTGCCTGTCCGTCTGCCAAGGTGGGGCTATGGGTACCGAGAGGGTGGAGCTGGGTGTGTTGGTTCCATAGCCGGAAGATGGGAGAGACGCGAGGGACCATCTTCTGCCGTCTGCCCTGGAGAGGGGAACAAGAACAGATGGAAGGAAAGCCTGGCCCCTGTGGTTTGTGGGGACTAAGAGCAGACACTGTGGCCAGCCAGCATATTCCGGCCCTGTTGTAGGAAGGATCTCCTGAAAATAACCAAGAACCGAGACGCAGGCTGGCCAAATCCACTGCACGCTCTCTCTCTCTTCAGGTACCTACCTCTTCCAGAAAGCCCCCCGTGACTCCAACTGCCACTGTGTCCCCTGTCAAAGCTTCAACCTCTGAGCTGTAGCTTCTGGGGCACACATTGGCCACCCCCTACCAAACGGAGGACTCCCCAGGGGCTCAGGGCCGGTCGCCCATTTGCAACCATGCCCTCAGCCTGCAGCGCAGAGCATACACACAGCAGGTGCTTAATGAACGTTGTTGTATGAATAAATAAATGAAATGCAAGCGTCTGGCACATGACAGGCACTCAATCAGCTCTTGTTAAGTGAATGAATGAATGATTTCTTTAGTGAGTTAATGATTCTTAGGGCTATATCCCCCCATGACCGCCCACCCCCTGGGCTGGTTGAAATTACCTGTCTGTGCGTGGGATGTGGCTGCAAGATGGCATGCATTTGTCAGGGATGGGAGCCAGAGGGGGAGACCACCACCAGATGGGCCAGGGGAGGGGAAAAGGTGAATGAAATGAATGAGGGGCCAGGTCTAGCCCCCGAGCACGTGCCCCTGCCCAACCCCTGCCCGTGGTGCCCGCACTGTCTCCCAAAGCTGGCAATCACTCACCTCCGGGCAAAGGGGAAATTGAGGGCAGAGACAGCCGAGAAATTCCGAGGACTATCCAAGGGGCTGCTGCCTGCTGAGGAGGAGGTGGGAAAACTGAGTCAGCGGGGCAGAGGCAGGACACAGCACCCGCTGGCTGCTCCCACACTCACCCGTTGGGACTGACAGTGGCGACAGGGGGCGGGAGAGGGTCGGGGAGGGCGTTCCTACCACCAAGCTCTTGCGGTTCCCGCTGCGGCAGCTGTGGGGGGAAAAGGGGACAGGGTAGGTGGCTGCCCAGGGCCCTGCACTAAGCCACCTGCCCAGCCTAAATCACACAGGCAGCCCGTTCTGGAGAAGGATGGGATGTTGGACATGGCCACTCCCACTCTGCCCCCAGGTGGGTTCCCCCATGGCCCTTAGCCAGGTCTTTAAGGCCCAGGAGGGAGTCACCCCTTGACTAACATTCCTTATTATTGAAACTACTGCTGGCCAGGCATGGTGGCTCATGCCTATAACCCCAGTGCTTCGGGAGGCCAAGGTGGGAGGATCCTCTGAAGCTAGGAGTTCAAGACCAGCCTGGGCAATATAGCGAGACCTCGTCTCTATACAAAATTTAAAAATTAGCTGGCTGTGGTGATGCACGCCTGTAGTCCCAGCTACTCAGGAGGCTGAGGCAAGAGGATTGCTTGAGCCTCAGGAGGTCAAGGCTGCAGTAAGCCATGATCGTGCCACGGCACTCCAGCCTAGGTGACAGAACAAGGCCCTCTCTCTTAAAAAAACAAAAACAAGGCTGGGCACAGTGGCTCATCCCTGTAATCCCAGTACTTTGGGAGGCCAAGGTGGGTGGATCACCTGAGATCAGGAGTTTGAGACCAGCCTGACCAACACAGAGGAACCCTGTCTCTACTAAAAATACAAAATTAGCTGGGCATGGTGATGCATGCCTGTAATCCCAGCTACTTGGGAGGCTGAGGCAGGAGAATCGCTTGAACCCGAGAGGTGGAGGTTGTGGTGAGCCCAGATCGCACCATCGCACTCCAGCCTGGGCAACAAGAGTGAAACTTCGTCTCAAAAAAACGAAACAAAACAAAACAAAACACCCAAAAATTAGACAGGTGTGGTAGTGCACACTTGTAATCCCAGCTACTGAGGATGTTGGGGCAGAGAATCGCTTGAACCCAGGAGGTGGAGGTTGCGGTGAGTTGAGATAGTGCCATTGCACTCCAGCCTGGGTGACATGAGTGAAACTTCGTCTCAAAAACAGTAACAAAAACAAACACAAACTATTGGCAGTGTTGTTATTAACAGCAATGGCATGAAGTGCTTCTAGCCTGATGGTGGACACTACATATGGCCAGGAGCCCCCGGCCCAGCTTTTCACGGTTCTGTGTTACAGTCCCACCCCCACACCTTTCCCTGTACCATGGCTACTGCCAGCAGCACCAGCAAATCACGTGGACCAACCACACCCTGGAGCCCAGATATGGGCTGAGACACCCCATTCTATACACCCCTCCTGAAGCCCCTGCTCCCATCTCTTGACAACCCTCCTTCTTCCCAAGATGCCCCTAAAATGCCAATGGGACTCAACTAGAAACCCTAAATGCAGTCTCTTTCACAGTCCTGCCTGTTCTGCTGAACTTTTGCCCACATGTTGTCCTCTTTCCATCCCAGTTCCCTTCTGGCCACCAGATACCTGGCCCAGGTCTCTGACACCCTGCCTGGCCTCTTCTCCCACCTGAGCCCTGGCCTCAGCCCACACCTTGACAGAAGGAAGTTGGGAGTGACACCATCTCCCGCCCCACCAGAGCAGTCGCCCGGCAACAGCTCTGCTCCACCAGAGCATCAGCCCACACACCCCAAGCCGCCAACACAGCTCAGCGGTGGGAGAACCTCGCGGGGAGGGAGAGATGAAGTCTCGGGGCCTCTGAGGTGCAGAAATGGGGTCCCAGGCAGAATGCTCAGAGCAGGTCAATGCATGGGAGAACAAGCATACGATCATCAAAGGACACAGGTGACAAGGTGGACAGGGAGAAGAGGCCCAGCCTGTCTACGTCTCCACATATGGCTGCCCCTTGAGCCTCAGTTTCCCCATCTCTACCTTGAAGGATGAAACCTACTACATCCAGTGCTCAGCTCTGGGCCAGACTCGGGTACATACGCTGTTGTCTTTGCCTACACAAGGCTCACAGGGCCTGGCTCACGCTGGGAGGGCAGGCAATGCTTCCTGAGTGAATTACATCCCCAACATGTGCCAAGCCCAACAAGCCCCAGAGTTGGGAGCGGCCAGCTGAGCCCATTTCCCAGACTGGGAAACTGAAGCCACAGATGTCAAGAGTCACAGTGATTGTCTCCCAGCCTGAGCTGCAGAAGCAAAAGTGAAACCTGCAGGTTTCTGCAAAACTTCCTGCCAACCCCTCAATGCATGCTCACCTGGCTGTCTCCGCATCCTCTCCCAGCCCCTCACCTGGTTCCTCGCCCCCACACTGCACCACCAGCACCCTCCCTCCCCGATCCTGCTGTATCACTTGCTGCTTCCAAAAGCATTTGGGAAAAACACTGAGTTGCCCTCCCTCCTGTTCTTGGGCGAGGTCTTCTTGAAAACACGGCCAAGGGTGAGGCCTCAAAGGACAACCAAGCATCATCTGTTCACTTCCCAAGCATCTATGCAGGGCTGACTCTTTGTTCAACTCTTCCTGGAGGAGATCCAGGACCTCGAGAAGTTGCCATTTGAGAACCATCCTCTTGGTACCCAGGACACAACAGAGAGAATGTGGCAGAAAGCAGGGGCCTGAAGCCAGCCTCCTGCACCTCATCCCTCTGGTACCCATATCCCCCCTCCAGTGCTCCCCATGATCTTGGAGGGAAGTTTAAGCCCTGGACTCAGCATTCAAGGTCTTTTGGTAGCTAGTCCCACCACCCAGACTTTGCCCCAGTCCAGCACCAATGAAAAACCCAAGCACAGAGAGGTTAAGGAGCTACTTGAGGTCACACAGCCTGGTAGTGGCTGAGTCGAAATTTGAACCCAGGTCCGGTAGAATCCACAGCCCTCATTTATCCTCTCTGCTTTTCAAAAGAGGAAACTGAGACTCCAAGAGAGATAAGGCTTTGGAGGGGGTTAAACTCAATTATCTGGACTCCTGACACCCCACCCAAATGCCAGCCTCGTGCAGTAAATATTTGCTTCTGAGCCAACATTTCTGCTGAATGGGCCCCCAGGGACAGATCAGCCTCAGTTTTTCCAAGAAGTTTCTCCCTGGTTCTGCACAGCCCTGGACACCTGGGTTCAAATCCTAGCTCAGTCTCAACTCACTCCTGTCTGTCACCACCCCAGCTGCGACGCTGGCGGACAGACACCCCAGTACAGGGAACGAGGGGCGAAAGGAGGGTGCCAGGGACCCCAGGGGACACCTCGATCCACAGGCGTCCTCCCCCCTTCCCACTGCTGCCACAGACAGCCACTCGCCGTGGTCCCCGCCACGCGGCCAGGACACACTTCTGGCAACTCCTGTTTGCTCGGCCGGCCGCCGAGCCTTCGCCGGCGCCGTGCCCCCTACCTCTTGGAGCGCTGCAGCAGCGCGCCTTTGGCCAGGCGGCTGCGATGGCCGGGAGCCGCCACCGCCGTCCAGTAGCTGGGGTCGGACATGCTGCTTCCCTTTGTGCCGCCGCCGCCGCCCGAGGCCGGGAAGGCGCGGGGGCGCAGCCGGCGGCGGCGGGGCGCGAACCTCGGCGGTGGGATCGGCCCCGGGAGCCCCGCGGAGCCGGACAGGGAGGGGGGCGCACAGGGCTGCGGGGTTGGGGGGGCGGCGAGAAGGAAGCGCGCGCCCCCGAGCGCGGCCTGGAACTCCGCCCAGGCGAGTGCGGGGGCGGGGCCGTTGGGGGCGGGGCCTGCCGGAAGGCGGAGCGAGCGACGCGGAAGCGAGGCCCTGGGACCCGCGTGCGGGCGAGTGGGCGGGGCGCTGCCATGGCCGCGGGCGGAGAGGCGGAGCGTTGCTAGGGCCGCGGGCGGCTGAGGCCGGGCGTTGCTACGACCGCGGGCGGCGGGGGCGGGGAGTTGGCAGCACCTTAACCTCGAGCCAGGGATAGGCATTTTGGCTCCTTTCTGCTAAACTGTAAATCTAATTACTCCCTCCTTTTCCTCTCTCCCGGGGCACTGACCCCTTCTCAGTGCGGCACCCAAGACCCACCCAGCGTCCTGGCCTGGCTCATGCTACCACGCCCACCGTGGCCCCACTGCTTGGAATCTAGCTTGGCAAGACAGCGTCCTCTCCTCTGAAAAACCCGCTTTCGTGTCTGTCTGGCTCTGTTTTCCCCAGGTTGGGGACTCCTTGGGGTCCCAGCAGCTCCCAGCACCGGAATGGCACAGAGGGTGTGTTTGGCAAATTGAGTCGGGGCGTCTGACATGCTCTGCCTCTGTGTGGCGGGAACGGCCATCAGCCCTGCCTCAATTAGGAATAAGCCACCTGATTAAACTCCAGCCTCAGTCTCCTCAACTGTGAAATTGGAGGAAAACTGGACTGACAGTGAGGATTACACAAATCAGATGTAAGGGGGCGCTTCCAAGGGCACCTGGTATATGTTCCATATCTATATATAATTTATAAACGATAGCATCAGGCTAACTTCCAGGCCTCTGTTTCCCCATGCATAACATCCCCCGTATTGAAAATCTGAGACACAGAGCCTGGTACAGGGCTGAGGGTACAGTATGTGTTCACTATGGAAGCCACTATGGAAGCAGAAGTGTCTCCCACTGTAGGGACTGAATTAATGCTTCCTCCTGTCATGACAGCCCAGGCAAGTCAGGGGCAGTGTCATCATGAGGGGTGCCCCTTCCTGGGCCCCAGGACACTTTGGGACCCAGTCCAGGCCCGATGCTGGAGCCCGGGCTTCATATCTAAAGAGACGATTTTTTTTCTTTCTTTTGAGACAGAGTTTCGCTCTACTTGCCCAGGCTGGAATGCAATGGCGCAATCTTAGCTCACTGCAGCCTCTGCCTCCCGGGTTCAAGCGATTCTCCTGCGTCAGCCTCCCAATTAGCTGGGATCACAGGCGTGAGCCACCATACCCAGCCTCCATCCTGCTTTTCCCAGCCTTGGTTTAAAACCAGCCTGGGTGAGGCCAAGTGTGGTGGAGTGCAGTGGCGCCATGTCAGCTCACTGCAACCCCCGCCTTCCTGGGTTCAAGCGATTCTCCTGTCTCAGCCTTCCGAGTAGCTGGCATTACAGGTGTGCACCACCACGCCCAGCTAATTTTTTGTATTTTTAGTAGAAACGGAGTTTCACCATGTTGGCCAGGCAACTCAAACTCCTGACCTCAGGTGATCTGCCCGCCTTGGCCTCCCAAAGTGCCAGCATTACAGGTGTGAGCCCCCGTGCCCAGCCAACAGGAAACAATTCAACGAGCAAGATAATTTCGGCTGGGCCTGGTGGCTCATGCCTGTAATCCCAGCACTTTGGGAGGCCAAAGCGGGTGGATCACCTGAGGTCAGGAGTTTGAGATCAGCCTGGCCAACATGGTGAAATCCAGTCTTACTAAAGATACAAAATTAGCCGGGTGTGGTGGCACATGCCTATAATCCCAACTACTTGGGAGGCTGAAGCAGGAGAATTGCTTGAACCCAGGAGGTGAAGGTTGCAGTGAGCTGAGGTAGCGCTATTGCACTCCAGCCTGGGCAACACGAGCAAAACTCTATCTCAAAAAAATAAATAAATAAAAATATGAAAGAAATAGCTGGGCATGGTGGCACGTGCCTGTATTCCCAGGTGCTCAGGAGGCTGAGGCAGGAGAATCACTTGTACCCAGGAGGTGGTGGTTGCAGTGGACTGAGATCTCACCAGTGCACTCCAGCCTGGGTGACAGAGCGAGACTCCATCTCAAAAAAAAAGAAAAAAAAAAAAAGAAAAAGATAATTTCAAACACCAAGGCTGAGAAGCGAAAAGAAAGGACAGAACACTGCAAGGGGCGACTTTAGCCATAAGGCCTCTCAGAGGAGGTAACACTGCAGCCAGCCAGAAATGGAGGAGGAAGGAGCTGGCTATGCAGAAAGCGCATCCCAGGCAAAGGGCACAGCTCTCTGAGGCAGCACTGAGGGCAAAATGCCAGAGGGGCTGACCACATGAGCGTTGTGGGCTGCAGGGAAGAGTGCAATTTTATTGTAGGAGCAATGGGGAGCCATGGAGGGTGCTTGAGCAGAGAAGGGGTGTGATCTGGACTATGTTTGTAAACCCCCTTGTGTCTGCTATGGGGAGCAGACTGTTGGGGGACAGGAATGAAGATAGCAGGAGGCCAGTAAGGGGCTGGGACAATGTCTGGGAGGGGAATATTGAAGCTATGGGGAAAAATGGGTGGGTTTGGGAGTGTTGAGACCAGGGGAGATGGTGGTTTTGAGACCACCAGAGATGGTAATGAGGATGGGAGTGGTCACCTATGACCCCCAGGTATGCAGCCTAAGCCTCCTGTGGGCTACAGATTCTCCTGAGTCTGGCTGGGGACCCAAGTGGGGATGGGACCACAGTCTCCACTTGCTGTCACTACGTGCTGAGCCACCCCATATGCACGGGGACACACCTTTGCATACACACACACGGCGCTGCCCCCTCGTCCCCAGCCACAGCTATACCCAGTAACACTTACACACCCCCTATTACATACACCCACTGCCCTGACATCTGTAGCAGGGAGAGAACCTTCTCTCATGCTCACTTGGCCTCAGTTTCCCCCTCTGCAAAACAGGGCTGCAGCTGACAATCCAGAGAGCCTGCTGCCACGGTGAAGGCCTTCTATGAAAGGCTGGCTGAGCCACTGATCTCTGGTGTCAGTCCACTGCTCCTCAGATCATGCCCTTGCCCTGCTCACAAACCCTCCATGGCTCCCTATTGCTCTTACAGCAAAACCGCATTCCCGGGTGAATCCCTCTCCCAGGGGTCATATCCTAGCCCTGTCCCTGACAAACTCTGTGACAGTGACATTTGACTCTCCCTGCCTGTGCTCTGACTGTAAATGCCAAAGTCTCAGGTAGATATACAGACACCCCTCTTCACCGGCCCCTTTTTAGTGGGACTACCCCAGCGCTTCCCACCTGCCCATACATCTGTGCCCCTCCCAGCACCACACTCTATGGCTCCTAGTGCCCTAGGTAGAAAATCCACATTCTGCCGGGCGCGGTGGCTCACGCCTGTAATCCCAGCACTTTGGGAGGCCGAGGCGGGCGGATCACAAGGTCAGGAGATCGAGACCACGGTGAAACCCCGTCTCTACTAAAAATTACAAAAAATTAGCCGGGCGCGGTTGTGGGCGCCTGTAGTCCCAGCTACTCGGGAGGCTGAGGCAGGAGAATGGTGTGAACCCGGGAGGCGGAGCTTGCAGTGAGCCGAGATCGTGCCACTGCACTCTAGCCTGGGCAACAGCGTGAGACTCCGTCTCAAAAAAAAAAAAAAAAAAATCCACATTCTTCCTGCCCTTGGCATTTGAGGCTCCAGAAGGAATGTGTCTCTAACGATGCTGTTCCTGCCTGGAACAGCCACTTTGTCTATGAGCGCCCAACTCATCGCCTTCTTCAACACCACCCCCAACCCCCAATGCCATCACCACCACAAGGACAGCCCTCCCAGATACTGCCCATTCATCTAAGCCACATGCATTAACTGAGCACCTGCTGTATACACCCTGGGCCTGCCCTGAGGCTACAACATGACCAGGACAGATAAGGTATGGTCCCAGAGAGGCTGTCAAACCTCTGGGCGAGAAAAATAACTGGATAATCACACAAGACAATATGGAAATTGAATCTCTGGGGTTGGCTATGTGCCGTGGCTCATGCCTGTAATTCCAACACTTTAGGAGGCTGAGATGGGTAGATCGCTTGAACTTAGGAGTTTGAGACCAGTCTGACCAACATGGTGAAACCCCGTCTCTACTAAAAATACAAAATTGGCCGGGCGCGGTGGCTCACGCCTGTAATCCCAGCACTTTGGGAGGCCGAGGCGGGCGGATCACGAGGTCAGGAGATCGAGACCATCCTGGCTAACACGGTGAAACCCCACTTCTACTACAAATGCAAAAGATTAGCCGGGCGAGGCGGCGGGCGCCTGTAGTCCCAGCTACTCGGGAGGCTGAGGCAGGAGAATGGCGTGAACCCGGGAGGCGGAGCTTGCAGTGAGCCGAGATCGCGCCATTGCACTCCAGCCTGGGCAACTAAGCGAGACTCTGTCTCAAAAAAAAAAAATAAATAAATAAATACAAAATTAGCCAGGTGTGGTGGCACATGCCTATAATCCCAGCTACTTGGGAGGCTGAGGCAGGAGAACTGCTTGAACCCAGGAGGTGGAGGTTGCAGTGAGCTGAGATATCGCACTACTGCACTCCAGCCTGGGTGGCAGAGCAAGACTGTCTCAAAAAAAAAAAAAAAAAGAAAAGAAACAAAGAAACAAAGAAACAAAGAAAATCCCTGAGGTCTGGATAGGGAAATGGACAGGTATAATGCATGTTATACTCCATGTTTGTGGGGCCTGGAAGGAGGGGGTGGTTGGGGAAGGCTTCCCATCTGAGGCTGAGGCCTTGATGAGGATGTGACGGAATAAAAAAGGAGGGAATGGAGTTCTGGGCAGTGGGGACAGCAGGTGCAAAGGCCCTGAGGCTGGACCAGCCTGCATTCTGGAGGATCAGCCCAGGAAGCCATGTGGCTGGAGCCAAGTGAGCAGTGGGGAGATGGATAGAGTGGAGGCAGGGAAGTTGCAAGGCCAAGCACGATGGCTCACGCCTGTAATCCCAGCACTGTGAGAAGCCAAGGCGGGTGGATCACCTGAAGTCAGGAGTTCGAGACCAGCCTAGCCAACATGGTGAAACCCCATCTCTACTAAAAATACAAAAAATTAGCCGGGAGTGGTGGCAGACGTCTGTAATCCCAGCTACTCACGAGCCTGAGGCAGGAGAATCACTTGAATCCGGGAGGCGGAGGTTGCAGTGAGCCAAGATCGTGCCACTTCACTGCAGCCTTTGCAACAAGAAGAAAACTCTGTCTCAAACAAACCAATAAAACATCCAAATGTTAGCTGGGTGTGGTGGTGCATGCCTGTAATCCCAGCTACTCAAGAGGGTGAGGCAGGAGACTCGCTTGAACCCAGGAGGCGGAGGTTGCAGTGAGCAGAGATCACACCACTGCATCCCAGCCTGGGCAACAAAGCGAGACTGTCACACACACACACACACACACACACACACACACACACACACACACACACAAAAGAGGCAGAGGAGTTGCAGAGGCTGGATCCTGTTGGGACAATTATGAGCTTATTCCTAGGATGCTTGGAACACATGGCAGGCAGGGACCCATTTCCCTGCCAGGGACCCATTCCCCCTGGCAGGCCCAAGGCAATGTGGCTCTGCTGCCCCCTGGTGGTGAGTCAGGTAGCCTGGTGGGCTTTCTCAGCCCCAGACACTTCCTCCTTTCCCTCCCAGTTAAAACTGGTCAAATCTGCTCAGTGGCCTCCAATCCAAGGGTCCCTCCCTTCATCACATCCTCACGTGGGATGGAAGCCAAGGATTTAGACCGAGTCAGATCTGGCCTGAAACCTTACTAGGATGCTCCCAATAACACATTCTGAGGTCCTGTGCCCCCGTTTTCTTCATAAATGGGGGTGATGGCAGTCTCTGCTTCCCATTGGATGCCTCAACTTGGTCCTGGATGTTGTCCTAGCCACCTCCTTCTCTCTGGCCACTCCATTCCTGGCCCCAGCAGACCTTTCTCCCCTCAAGGCAGCCACAGAGGCTTAAAAAATATTTCGGGGGGGGTGCAGAGTGGCTTATGCCTGTAATCCTAGCACTTTTGGAAGCCAAGGCAGGTGGATCACCTGAGGTCAAGAGTTCAAGACCAGCCTGG